ACTGCTTCGCTTCCAATTGCCTAGACAATGTTGAACTGTTGTCAGAAGCTTCACCCTGACAAGGTTACAGGGACCACGGAACTTTCTTGGCCAACACAGGGATGAAACCTGTGACCTCCTGGTTACCAGTTAACAAGTGGGAGCTGTATAAGAATCTGCAATTACTTAGTATAAGGTTAGACAATAAATATAGTTTATCATTGAGACACTAGTTGGTCATATACTTTCTCTAGATATCGGGTGGCCCAGACAAAAAACAAGCACACTATGCTTTTTACAACTCAAACTACATTCACACTATTTGAGTTGTGAACCTGTAATTTGCAGTGAAGTTGTTAAACATCCATACAACTCTGATGTTGCCTGTAAAGCAAGTACTGCATGAACACAGTTTACGCTTGCTGATAAGATAAGATGTTTATTGCATCAAAACGTCCATTAAGGCATGTTATACCTATTTATTTCTTGCATAATTTTAAATATGAAATATTATCTACTGATATACGTTGGTGGTTTTTTTTATTTAACATTACATCCTGTCTACAGCAACTAACCATTAAACAGTGTTTTTAGTTAATTATACTAAATGAACTTTGATTACCCGGGTATTGCTGTACTAGAACATGTGGTGCGAATTCCTGAAATACCATTGATAGAACTCCAAAACCACCATCGTAGAATTAGATACGGTGCTAAATGTTTTCAATTAATAAATAATTACTTTAATTATTGATGTAATGAAATAGGTTTATGCCTCCCCAGGGGTGTTCGGGTCAGAATCTTCATTTCACCTTGAGAAATCATAGTGTGTGTATGTGATGATTTCAAGCTCGAAGTGAAATATCTATGAGATTATTCTAGAATCATTCTGGTTTGATTCCTTCACGGATTTTATGGATTTGCCTGTTTTTTTGGATAGTATGGGGCGACACGGTGGCTCGGTGAGTAGAACACTGCTTCACGAAATGATCCTGCATTATGTTTGCTGTGAAAGTTCCTCAAAATTTTTTAACCTTGTTTAATTACCAGTGGTGGCCAGGAAAAGCGTTTAGTATAGAACTATTTATGGATTCGCTTTCAGAGTTTATGGTTGGATTTTAAAATGATAATTTGATCCAGGTGATCTCTTGCTTATAGTCAAGTGAATGATCGAGAAAAGTAGGATGTTAAACCCTGTTTCACTTCTCTATAAAATTACTAAATCAGCTAGGGATTCTAAAAATATCTTGGCTATTAAAATTTTATATTCACAAACTAAACATCAAGTTACGTGTGGTGGCAGTTGAAGTAATTCGCTGTTAATCAGACATCTTGAATTATCATTACATTAGAAATAAATGCTATGACAGACGGTATAATTTATTCTTAAACAAATATATCTGGCGCTGGATCCTAGAACACAAGTCAGGATGAAATTCATTTGTAAATAGAAACCTAATTTTATAGTTTAACCTCAATTAACTTCTGGGCTATGTTTAGTAGAAAAACCACCTGACTCCGGTGATTAACGGTGGGGTTCATCTGTTAAATGATGTCTGTTTATAAAGTTCTGTTTGTGCAGGGTAAAAAAATGAAGGGATTGTGATTTTTTATTGCTGATGTTCCTGGGTTTTGACATTCATTTTGACCCTTTTTTGGGCAACAGTGACTCGACATAAATATAGATTATGAAAAACATTTGGATTTGCATAATATATAATGTTCTTTTAGATCTAGAGACCAAAATTTAAATAATGTGATGTTTTAAACAAAGATGCATTTTGATCTTCGGTTTAAGGCGATCTACGAATGAATTACAGCAAGTAAATTATTGTCCTCAATAATTAATTGAGCATTGATAATTATAAATACATGTGTTAATAGGATTTTAATCATGACTAATACATAATTAAGGTACTGAAATGTTTGAGCAATGATATATTCCATTCTAATGTATATGATTAAAGTATGATTTTCAGAATTACATGTATGATTAGGATGATATTCACGCATGTAGTGTAAAAATAAATTTGTGTTTCTTTTGAAAAAAAAAAAGTGACTGGATGAAATATAACGCTGCCTGATCCTATTGTTGTTGGAGAAAGTGTGTAGGTATTTTGATGCCTGGTTTCCCGTTGGGGGTGACAATAAAGTGCAAAATACTATGAGATGGAAGTTTGTTGTATTCATGTAATATTCAAATCATTTACATGTTTTAGTCCCTTCGTATTATGTAATTACTAGCGGTTGATCCAGCATAGCACAGGTATAGCCATGAATCAGAAGTATATTCCTAAACCATATTTTACTCCCCGGTCCAAGCTACCCCTATACACCAGATTTCAGCAGCCAACCCTGAAAAAACATCAAACGACAGTCACAAATATTAGTATAGATACACATCTCAGTATAAGAAGGCCTTCATGTACAAAGGGTCTGACTTGTATGAGAAAGATAGCCCATCTTTTCTTAAACACAGACACCAATGTAAACTTCAAATGGACATAACTGAAGTTAGAATTGAAATAAATCATGGATGAACTTGTTTGTTGATAAAAACACATGTTTAATTGTGTATGATTTTGAACTTAATTTTTCAATCTTTATTTTGGGGATTTAAAGTTCTAAAAATACCAAGCTTGATGACATTTTCTTTAGGCACTCATGACAGAGAAAAGATACATACCTTTAATTGAACACCAAAATAGTTTGAGAAAAGACTCATATAGGATAGGACTATTCTTAGAATGTCATATCTATTTGTGTTCTGTTGATAACAACTGGTGAAATCTTGTTAAAAACGTTGTTAAAGTGTAATAAACTATGCTTGATAACGACCGGTGAAATCTTGTTAAAACGTTATTGAAGTGTAATAAACTACCGGTATAGTTTTAAATGTTTGTTCTATAACCAGAATCATTGTGTTTTAAAACATATAAAACATCCAGTCAGTCCATCATTAAACTCCTTTAAATCTAGATTTGAAACATACTTATTTGAGAAATATTTGCAAGAGTGATTGTGTTTTTTTGTAGCGCTATGAGCACGACTATATGTGGAATTAGCGTGATATAAATGGACTTACTATTTATTATAGATCTGTTTCTTGTGTATTATAACCCAAATCATTTTATACATGAGTTGGTTAGTTTTAAATCAGAAGATTCTAATTCTTGTCCCTTTATTTTATAACCTTGTTGGGACTATATACAATGAGTATGATCTTACTGTTTATATAGGGGTATACGGTATAATATATATATATATATAATATTTCCACTGTTTATATAAATACCAGGAGTAAGATCGTTCTTTATATAAACCAGATGCTACTTATAACCACTTTATATATATAAATATCTACTACCTGTAAAATAAATACCTGTAATTAAAGGCACTGATCATCCAGTAACAGATACGTACTAACATTTTATAGAAACAGAATACTATGGGAAGTTTTTATGCTGTTATTTAGAGGGGGGGGGGGGAGACCCTTTGCCCCCACCCCATCCCCCACCTGTATCATCAATGTTTTCTTTGAATATTATCACCTTAATCCACACTAAAATGTTATTAAATTCGTGAAAAATTAAAGATACATTATGTAAGATTTAAATAAAGAACTGTCTGTTCTTGCTATAATAGTTATAAAATAGATAATGCAAAATGAATATATTGAAAATTTTGTTCAAATTACTTAATTCTGAGTGGAGATATTAGCCTTTGAAGGTTTGACAAGATGTGTGCGTTGATTGTAACCACGCGACTGGTTGTTTAAGGTTTAGTCTCTCTTCATTAAATGGGCAAACCATTCTAATCTACTTGACATCGGAGCTATCCAATGACATCGAGACTTAATTATAGTCTTGTCATATTAATAAATGTTTGATTAATAGTTTAAATAACATTTAGGTCTAAAGAAAGATCTGCAGTAGAAATAAAATTGAACCATATGTTAGTCCCAAAATGATCTTGTTTGTGTCGAGTAGATGTTAAACCCCATTTTTCTCTCTCTCAACTTTTCTGTTTAAATTTCAAAACTTAAAAATGGAACTATAAACTTTTGAGAAGGATGTTTTGTTCTTAAATTATTCTTTCCCCAAATAAAAAACTCAACTTTGAGAACAAAAATTCAAATTGCTGAGTCCTCACAATATCTATATTAGTCTCGAAATAACCACAAAGTGAACCAATGATGAACATATGTCTATTGATACCATTGAAGTGAATTCCAGGAATTATTCTTTAATTAATACATAACACCTTGAAGTAATCGTAACATCAGTACCTTTCATGTACACACAGGTGTTAACAGACAGGTAAAAATGTGGAAATATTTTTCTTGTGTTTCATCCAAATGAGATAACTCTATGATGGTATATAATAATAATAATAATATCGTCATTTATAAAGCGCGTTAATACTGAAGAACAGTTTCTAAGGTGCTGTTGGTTTTTATATTCACTGATTATTTACAGATCTGGGTTTTGAAATAAGAATGTTTTGAGTTGAGATTTAAAATGGCCCACAGACGGTGATTGTTTTATTGACTGTGGTAGTCTATTCCATAGAAAAACTCTAGTGTAGGAAAATGTAAATGTTCCAATTTGGAAGTTAATAGTTATAGATTTTAGTAGGTGTTTCTTCTGAGAACAGAGATTTCTGCTGGTAGAATAAGACAGAGCTTATTATTTTTAGGGAGCGACGGTGGTGCAGTGGGTAAGACGTTGGCTCACTAACCTGGAGGTCCCATGTTTGATTCCAGTGTTGGCTAAGGAAGTTCATCCAGATTTTCCAGCGTGGTTCCGGCTTGTCAGCAAATCGTTTTGAGGTCCTGCATGCACACAATTTATCCCTGGACAGTTGGAATTCGAAAAAAGAGTAGGATATAGTACCGCTGTCTGGGCAAAATTTTACTCATAATAGCACACTGTATGGTGTATGCTCTTGATCATTAGCCCAGTTGGAGCAGAACAGTAGGACGTCAAACCCCATTTTATTTCATTTATAATATTTTGTAGGTACAAGAAATGGTATATGAGATAAAACAGGGGTTTGTGGAAGTAATGACAGAGTTATCACATTCTCAGACAACAGATAAAAATAATTGGCGCCAAGTTACCGAGACTCAAGATGGCCAACAGGAACAGATAAATAAATTACAGACTACTGTTAGTTCTATAAAGGTGAGTTTTATTTTATATCATTTTCTAAGTTTTTGTGCTTTATTTTATTTTTTTTTGTAAAAACATGGACAGTTTCCCTCATGGATAAAGCCTTTGACATATTTAGAAAAAGCATGGTCTTCATCCACTCGAACCATCAATAAGAAACTATGTACAAAGTTTTGTGTTTCTTGATCTAAGATATTTCTCATAAACAGTGATTGAAAGTTGAGTAAATTCTTAGCTTATGTCTGAGAAGGTTTTGAGTCATGTAGCATGATTTCCATTCGTAGCTTGTACATGACAAAAAATAGGGTCGTCTACTTGAACTTGTGAGTTTTCTCGGATTCTTCCAACGGCTGAAGACCCCTACATACAAATAAATTATTGAAATAAAATTAAACTATATATTAGTCCCAAAATGACCTAACTTGTGTCTCTCTCATGTTTGAGTTAAATGTAAACATCAGAGACGATTATGATTCAGTGAAATGTTCGCATTTGTTAATTTGATTGTTTTTTTCCTTGGCAGACGGATGTAGTTGGTCAGATAAAGAGTTTAACAAGTCGACAGGTTGATATGGAAGAGAAGATTAAATCATTAGAAACAGAACGAGATGGTTTATTAGATAGATTAGACACGTTACATCGACAGTATAATAATTTATTATATGAATTAGTTCGATGTGGTTCGCTACCAGATACTGTCAGGTATGTTTTAATATAATACATTCCTACTCAAATTCTTAAGAAACTTTTAGTGTTTTCATGAACAACAATTTTGATATTTTTAGATATTCCATTCAGATCCAACCAATAAAATTCATTTTGACAGAATTTTGAATTAATAACTTTTCTACTCCATCTGAGTGATATTAAAGTTGTTTGCCCAGGCAGCAGAACCATCTACATACTCTTATTTTGAATTCCATCCATCAAGGATTATTTTACGTGCATGTCACCGTGTATTTTTATGTAATTATTTTCCAGAAATCAAATGTTAAATGGTAATTTAGAATTCTCTAATCCACCGCCTTGGCCAGATAAAGATATGAATCATTCTTCACATTGTAAGTAAATGTATTACATTTATTGGTTTTATGCTAGACTATATACAGTAATTAATAACATTATTTCGGTATCTTTAATTCCTTGGGTGGTTGAATGGCCGCATGGCCTAACATGCACGCTTTAGATCATAAGTCTTTAAACGAGTCAAGTAGAGTGGTTTCTATACCAAGCTTATTTATACGTGATCAGGATCACCTGTCCAGTCATGTGGGTTTTCTCCAGGTCCTCCGACTGCCTACCACTGCTAAACATCCGCACACGCAAGCGAATCATTGACATAAAATTGTACCATAGAATAATCCCGAAATGGCCTAGCTTGGGTGTAATTGACACTAAACCCCATTTCCCTCTGTGTGTTTTGTTTTTGTTTTTTTTTCCAAGTTCCAACTTTATTATACCCTAGTATGGATTTTGATTGATCGGATGAATTATATAGATTAGTGATGGGATCAAGTCTACACAACTTCATCTTTTTACCTATTTTATTGGAATAGTCTGTTATTTTATAGTCCATTAGTCTTGTCGATTTTATGTTTGGAAATAGAGACATATTAGCTTGATTGTTATTCTAATATGTATAGGTCATTCAGTCTTCTGGAGAATAAAGGGGAATAACTCTTCAATCTTGTGTTTGGTTATGGATGCAGACCACCATTGATTTTGCTATTGACTTTAATGTTAATTAATGACAGACCTTTTGACAATTATTAATTCATTTTAATGTTTTTCTGTGCAGCTAAAGAGAGTTTGATGTTGAATGGTGATACAGACGTGACGTCGATTGCATGTAAAAGTCTTAATTTATCTCAAGCGTTAAAAGAAAAATGTATGAATTTAAATTTATCTGAATCTAGTGACGAAGATCATTCACATCCATGGCAACAGGTGAGTTAACATATCAATACTAATATTTTTGACTGTCTGTCTGTTCAGGGTTGTCCTGGGGCTGAAATTTAGTGTACAGGGGTAGCTCGGACCGGGGGAGTAACATAGACCTGGTTGTGATGGCCTACACCTTCTGGTTTTGGATTTATGCTACTTCTGATTCATGGCTATACCTGTGCAATGCCGGGTCAATCCCTAGTAATTACATAATACTAAGGGACTAAAACATTAAAACTGTATAAATGTTAAATTGTTTATTTACAAAACAAAATTTAAAGATGCATCACTGGAAATCAAAGCAATTAAAAATATGCTAAAAGAAAAAATTGAAATAAAAACATACTGCTTACAAAGGAGAGAAAATTCTGACAAATATGTAAGCTTCTAGGAGAAATAAAATAAATTACTAACAGAATAAAGCTGACTTAATTAACTAAATCCATTTACAACAAGACAGTGGAGTGTGGGTGCACATAATAATACAAAGTTTAGTTTTTCTGCAAAATTAACAATATTTATACTTATATCTTGTAAAGAGAATGATTCCTAGGCCCCAACCTAGGCATTCTCTCTAAAAAAATAAATACATTTTTTGCTGGGAAATAAAGCTTTTTAAAAAAAAGAAAAAAAACAGTATATTTTACTAGTGAAATATATTAGGCCTACTGCGATGAACTACCTTTTCCAGTTTTGGAGTTCTACTACTTTGGGTTCCGGGCCACAACTTGTGCAGCAACGCTAGTCATACTTTAATTACAGACCACAGTGGCTCAGTGATTAATGCACTGGCTTACTAACCAGGAGTTCCCGGATTCAATCCCAGTGTTGTGTGCGATAGTTTCTCATGATTTTCGAGTATGGTATTCCCTTGTCATGGTCTTACAAGAAATATTTTCAAATCTGATAGTTTGCCATTGGAATAACATTCCTACTGTCTTGAAATTGTCAATAATAAACCTGTGGTGACACTGTGTTTATTTTGGTATGATAAATATTTCTTGAATTGAATGGAACTGACTCTTTTCACGCATATATAGCACTATATTAATCTGATTAAAACACAGATCTTATTTCGTTTCGTTTTTTATAGTTCAAAATTTCGTTTTACTTGTCTTTACTACAGTAGGAACTGGAAGAGTTGTTATATAACCCACGTTTTGGTTCATGTGAGGTATTAGCCAATGAAATGGTCTGTTCCGGCAAGTTCTTGGAGTGCAGTGCACAGAACTGTGGGTATCCCACTAGAAACATCAATGCGGATTGGTTAATCAGATGTCATAGGGTTAAAGACCGCTCGTATGACCCCTAACGTAACCTCTGACTACAACCGGTCAGATCTTCATGTAGTGGAGGCTATTGAAAGTATAAAAATAGAAAACGTAATATAGATCTGTATTTTAATAAAATTGGCGTTATACAAATGTTTATATATTTTTTTTATTTCAGCAAATGGATATAAGATCAAACAGTAGCAAAGGTCGGGGTTATCATTCTCCACGTAAAATATCACAAGTTGATAATCCAGATACAGGTAGGTCTATAAACTAAATATCACAAGATGAATGGTGTGAAATATCATTTACTGCTGGTTGAACCGGGGTAGCACAGGTATAGCCATGAACCGAAAGTAGCATATCTCCAAAACCACCAGGTGTATGTTACTCCCCGGTCTCAGCTACCCCTCCCCCCCATACACCAAACCTGAACAGACAGACAGACATCAAACGACAGTCACAAATATTAGCATAGATTAAATGAAATCTATATCATGAAATAATTAAACATAATTAGTTTGCATTATGAAATGAAATGAAATGGGGTTTAACGTTCTACTGTTCTGCTATGACTGGGCTAATGAAAATGGGTATGTGCCATACAGTGTGCCAAGAGGGAAATTTTGCCCGGGCAGCAGCACTTTTACGTGCAAACCAATGTATACACCGGACCTCTGTTTTCCGTCTCATTCAAATGACTAGACAGCTGTCCTTGTCAGACCCTTTGTCCTGCACCACTGACAGGGGGAACCACATTCTCGGCCAATGCAGGGATCGAACAAGCGGTCTCCAGAGTAGCAAACCAAAATTGTTTAGATGAATCAAAACCCATCTATCCAGCCAAATATTTTATGTTATTTAAATCTTATTTGTATTAAAATTGAATAATTTATAATTCAGGACCAAGATTACAAGCCATTGAAGAATTAATCCAATCAGAGAAAGATTACTGTTCCCAGATCTGGGCCATTTTAGATAATTACCTGGCACCATTACAAGAACGTCATTATCTTAGTGCAAGGGAGATAAGTGTGTTAATACCCCCGTATGTCGGTCAGATCTACGATCATCATTGTCAGATATTATCTACGTTACAAGAGAGAGTATCATACTGGGGTTGGAATGTTTCTATAGGTGATATATTCTCTAGAATGACCGATAGTGAAGAGGTAGGACTCGTCAATATATCGTAATATGTATACAAAATCATAATATGGAACATGATTATTATTTTAATTAAAGTGACATTCCGTTGAGGCTTCTCTCAGTGTTATCAAGCAAATGCCGCTCAAAGAAGATATCACAATATGTAGATTTTGTTGACAGTATTAAAGATACCATAATAATCCAATAATCCCTTTCTCTAATACGACCAAGAACTCGACAATGACATCTGTCTAGTCATTATGATGGGACGGAAAACCGAGGTTCTGTATACACATTGGCCTGCACATAAAAGATCCTTTCGCAATTGGGATTCGATATAAGAGTATGCCATAACGCCGCTATCCGTGCTTTAAGGTGTATTCCTGTTTTCATTAGCTCATTTCCCTTTCCCTAATAATATTCTCCGAAAGATTAATGTGTAAACTTGACCTGACAAGGATTTAGATTTACTTGATTAAAACACAGATCCTGTTTTATTTCGTTTTTTTTATAGTTTAAAATTTTACTACACCATCCAGAATCTGGAAGAGTTGTTAAATAACCCACGTTCTAGTTAGCCAATCAAATGGTCTGTTGTGTCGAATTTATCAAATACCCCATATAATACAATAAATTCAATCAATTTATTCCTCCCACCCGCCCTGCCTGGTAGACCTATGGTTCTCCGTCAATCACTGTCTATTAAATATAATACATATTATATACCTGTGATATGGTTCTCCGTCAATCATTGTCTATTAAAGATAATAACGGATATTTTTATTTACAGGAGAATATAATGTCTATATATAGAGAATATGTCGCTGATATTCCTGCGTCTGTTGGCTGTTTGAGACGTCATATCATTCAATCAAGAAACTTTAAGGCATTTATTAAGGTGAGTAGACATCTGATTATGCTCTCATGTTGTCGAATGATTTATCATGTGCTTTAGATCATAAAGTCTGTCATTGAGTCAAGTGGCTTGGTTTCAATTCCCCGGTTGTACGTGACAAGGAGTAGGGTCGCCTGTCTAACCTCGAGGGTTTCCTCCGGGTCCTCCAGTTTCCTGCCACTGCTAAAGCCCCCTACGTGCAAGCGAATTATTGAAATCAAATTGAACCATATACTAGTCCCAAAATGACCTAGTTTGTGTTGAGTGGACGTTAAACCCCATTTCTCTCTTTCTCTCTCTGTCATTAAATCAAATGGGGTGGTTTTGTATTCGACAGTTGTGAATTACAAGAAGTAGGGTCACCTGTCCAACCTGGTTGTATGTGACAAGAAGTAGGGTCACCTGTCCAACCTGGTGGGTTTTCTCTGGGTTTTCTCGTTTGCTCCTGCAGCTAAAAATACCTTCAACAATAATTGTGTAGGGATTTTTCACCTTTTTTTTCTGTTATTTTTTTAGGCCCAGAAAGGTAGAAGTTGTGATAATAATGATATATTGTCGTTAATGATGGCGCCATTACAAAGAATACCTCGTTATACATTATTATTACAGGTAGGTAAGATACCTGAAAGGTTAAAGGAACCAAACCCCCTCCCCCTCAAAAAGGTGGTCCCAGGGGCCACTCTTTACATTTTAAATGTATAGGCTCTCTCTTTCATACTTCTCTTCTGTATAGCCTCTACATGAGCCCCCCTCCTCCAGCCTGTATAGCCTCTACATGAAGCCCCCCTCCTCCAGCCTGTATAGCCTCTACATGAAGCCCCCCTCCTCCAGCCTGTATAGCCTCTACATGAGCCCCCCTCCTCCAGCCTGTATAGCCTCTACATGAGCCCCCCTCCTCCAGCCTGTATAGCCTCTTCATGAGCCCCCCTCCTCCAGCCTGTATAGCCTCTACATGAGCCCCCCTCCTCCAGCCTGTATAGCCTCTACATGAGCCCCCCTCCTCCAGCCGGATTCCATAAATATTCTTAATTAAAAGTTACATAGTCAGCATGGATTAAGCTGTGAATAATGAGATATGGTCTGTAAAAATATACGATTAAGTTCAGCAATCTAAAGCTGTTTTATCTGGGAGATATTTTTGACCCCGGAACCGGTCCCCTACACCTACCGCTCCTCATAGACCTGTTCTTTTTGTTGTTCTTGGGGATAATGCTCTTTGAAAAAATCTGAAGACTTTTTGCCAGTTCATGTACAATCAACATGCAACTTGAGAACATGTTCCTTAGACAATTGGGAATTGATTGACAGACTTCGATTTTTGATAAAACGTCACATGTCCAAGATGGCTGTGATGATATGGTATTCAGTTTCTGGTCCAGTGATAATATTATACTCATTTCATGGTCCATAATATGTTTGTTGTTGTTTAAATAGTTAACAGTTTATTAAAAATATTTATTCATATAAAATAATATATTAAAAATATTTATTCATATAAGATAATCTATTAAAAATATTTATTGATATAAAATAATATATTAAAAATATTTATTTATATAAAATAATTTATTAAAAATATTTATTGATATAAAATAATATATTAAAAATATTTATTTATATAAAATAATTTATTAAAAATATTTATTGATATAAAATAATTTATTAAAAATATTTATTGATATAAAATAATTTATTAAGGTATTTATTGATATTATATAATGTATTTTACAGCAAGTATTAAAGCACACATCAACGAGTCATCCAGATCACTATAATCTTCAGTCATCACTTGTTAAATTACGAACGTTCGTGGACCAGTTTAACAGTGAGATGTCACATACTATGATGGCTCTCAACTCAGATCATCCACGGTAAGTTTAAATAACCACTACTTTCATTTTATTGTCTGTGTTATGTAGGGTCACCTGCCTAACCTCAGGGGTTTTCCCTGGGTCCTCCAGTTTCCATGTCACTATTAAAACAACTACGTGCAAGTGATATTGAAATAAGATTGAACCATATGTTAGTCCCGAAATGACCTAGTTTGTATCGAGTGGACATTAAACTCCATTTCCATTTATATCTCTCTCCCTGTATCAAAGAATTTAATTTTAAAACACAATAAATACAGTTCAGTTTATAATTTTTATGTGTAAAAACACTTAAATATAGATATGAAAATTGGAATAGTTCTAAAAATGATCATTCTGTGAAATAAGAAAGTCCTGGTTGGTTCTGCCTTTGTTGTGTAGTCTTCCTATTATGAGATATCAGAAGTTTCTCCAAATATTCAAATGTACTGAAATTGGTGAACCGAAAGACTGCAGACTGAAGGACTGTCATCTACATATGTATATCTTCAAGCTGTGTGGATGGGTGGTCTAGGGGTTTAACGAGTGCGCGTTGCATCATAAGGTCTGTCATTGACTCAAGTGGCGTGGTTTTGATTCCTCGCTACACCGGTTTCCTCCTAATGCTAAAGACCCCTACCGTGTGTTAGTCCCAAAATGACCGTGTGTGTGTGTGTCTGAGAGATAATGTTACTATACCCAAATTTCAGACGTTGGTTATCGTTTAAAGCCAAGCTCCAATCAGCTTTAATTTCAAGGTTTGGTTAATTCGTAACCCTTTTCATGGAACGGGTTTCTAGATTACATTTTTATTAGTTATCTCTTTGACCTTAATGGTAAATCACCCGAAACTACCAATCCTACTTTTCTGCACCAAGAGGTCTTATGCCATGGTGTGTGCCATAAGGGAAATTTTGCCCAGTCAGCGGCAATTTCAGCTACTCTTCATCAAATTTCAACTGTTATGGTTCTTTGCGTACACAAAACATCTTTTCTTAGTGTAGGTCTTGTATCAGTGACCAGGAGAAAACATGATTAAAAATCCTGAAAAACTCATCTAGGCCAAAATTGGGATCGAACCCCGGTCACTGTTGGTTACAATAAGGAAGCCAGCTACATACAGCCACCATGGTTCCTAAAAGTGAACTATATAAGGGACTCATTTGGTTTGAGACTGGAGCCACGGTGGCTCAGTGGGTAAGACATTGGCTCACTAACCTGGAGGTCCCAAGTTCAACCCCCACATTAACTGAGAAAGTTCATCAGAAGTTTCTACTGTGGTTCCTTCTTGACAGTGGTACAAGACAGAGGGCCTCGTGCACGTAAAAGATCCCTTGGCAGTTGGAATTCGATATAAGAGTAGGCGATATTGTCGCTGCCCGGGCAAAATTTCCCTCATAGCACACTGTATGGTGTATGCCCGTCTTCATTAGTCCAGTTTGGAGCAGAACAGTAGGACGTTAAACCCCATTTTATTTGGTTTAAGAAGGCCTATGGAGTAGTAGTTTAATGGAGCTTTTAAACAACTACAAAACCTTTGTTTAAAAATTTACAGTCACCTGCTAAAGGTTTATATTTTAATTATGCAAACCTGGGATATTTAGCCAAGGTGGCTGCTGGGGCTTTAAAATTAGAATTGGTTTATTACAAGATTTGTGTTACATTTTTAGTTTATTACCAGTAATTAATATAAATCTCCCATGTTTAGCCATGTTGGTTTCCTGTTCGCTTTATATTCATTTGATAATTATCCAGTGGTTATAGTTAAAATATTGTCCTTTAATCTGGTGATGGAATGTTTTTAGATAGTTAAATATATAAATATTTAGAGACTGATAGAGTAACTTTTGAAAATATGGGTGTACTGCAGGGGCAGTTCCAGATGCGGGGGGTGGGGGGCCGGGGCGCAGATAGAGTAACTTTTGAAAATATGGGTGTACTGCAGGGGCATTTCCAGCAGTGGGGGTGGGGGGGTCAAACTACATAAAACAATTTGTAAAACAACACTTTTTATGAGAAAAGTTTCATGGTCGTTTTATTTATCCTTTATTATCAGATGGGATGGGCATTTAAAACCTGAGATAATGATATAGACATATGTGATATCTCATGAATTAATACTCTACATTCATCAAAAAACATCCACACCCACTATTCTCCCCATTATTTTAGGAGCCATATTTGTGCAAAACTCTATTTTTGGCTCTGGTCAAGTTATTTGTGTTCAGGCGTTTTCAAAAAAATAAAGTAAGAAGAGAAACAAAAAAGAACATCTTTAGTATTTCGTATTAAAAGATGAAAAGTTGTGTGGCTAGTTAGTGGAAGTGAGACAATTATGGGGCTAAATATTGTTTCTTATTTGGAGAGCAGCATTATGAAATTGGTGAATTGATTTGAATAAATTTTCAGTGGGTTGAAGAGAAGATAATAAGAAAGAGTTGTCTACATGTATAATTTATGTAAATTTTCATAGCCTGTAACCAATTTGATACCATGGTTTTATATAGACATTTATTAACATGACAAGCCCATAATCAACTCTCTTCATTTAAACCAGAACACCCGCGAGATTCAAATATTTAACAATAAAATGGATAAGTCTTGATTGTCAAGTACAGTTGCTATGATAATAAATGATCTACGCTGTATCTTGAAACAGTCATAACTAAACTCAGAATAAAGTAATTTGAATGAAATTTTCAATATATTCATTTTTCATTATCTATTTTTGAACTATTGTAGCAAGATCGACCAGCTCTTTATCTAAATCTTACATAATGTATCTTTAATTAATGTGTCAACTATTTATTTTGGGTTTTAGGCATGGTTTTATACACCCACATAATGTATCTTTAAGTATGCTGAGTCTCGTTTGATAATATTATTGTTTTATTTTGTAGACGTAGTGGTCAATCATTCTGGTCAAGTGCGACTGGTAGTATTTGTGCCGAGTCTCGTTTGATGATATTGTTGTTTTATTTTGTAGACGTAGTGTAGTTGTGCTGAGTCTCGTTTGATAATATAGTTGTTATATTTTGTAGACGTAGTGGTCAATCGTTCCGGTCAAGTGCCAGTGGTAGTAGTTGTGAAGCTGGACATCTACCAAGTACAAGAGATAGTGGTATACACTCTAACGGTGAAAATAATCACCGATCAGCTCGATTACCTGATAATCTAGATAGAGGGTACGTACATTTACTTTCACGGACTAAAATCTTGGTGCTTAATGCTGAAAATACCAAACCATGGTGCGCAATGCTGGAACTGAAATCATGGCCGGATGCTGAAAATATCAAATCTTGATGCCTGATACTGAAAATATGAAATCTTGATACTTGATGGTGAAAATATCAAATTTCAGTGCCTGATGATGGAAATATCATTTCTTGATACCCAATACTGAAAATATCAAATTTATCTTAGTGCCCAATGCTAAAAATTTAAAATCTTGGTATCTGGTGTTGAAAATATGAAATCTCAGTGCTGAATGCTGAAAACATAGAATCTGGTTGACTGAAAATGTTGTATGTCGTACCTGATGTTTAAAATAATTTTTTTTTGGCCCAAGCATTATTCAACAGATCATGAGTCAGTCATCTATGCAAGTCAAGAGTTTGAAACTTTGATCATGGCAAGGAATAATGTTGCCTTGTAGTCGTAGATTCTGAGCACGCTTGCGAAAATAATGAAATGCCATTTTAATCCTGAACGATCAAGGGCCATGGTTAGCTCATTAAGGTGGAAAGTTCTGGGGTTCGATCCAGGTTTTGGCTAAGAAAGTTCCCCGGGATTTTCAAGCATGGTTTCCCCTCAATGGTGCAAGATAGATCACTTGGCAAGAAACAGCGTCTAGTTGTTCTGATGGATGATAAAACTGATGCCCTGTGTGAAAGAATTCTTGATAGTTGGAGTGGGTAGAAAAGTCCCTGTTTAGGGAAAATTTCCCTCATAGAACCTTGTATGGTGAATGCCCATCTTTATATTCCGAGATAGTACAGAACAGTAGGATGTTAAACCTTATTTCCTATCCAAAATGATCAGGGGGGTTGGATGGCCGAATGGTTGTGTGCGCGCGGTATCATAAGGTCTGTCATTGAGTCAACTAGCGTGGTTTCGATTCCCAGGTTGTACGTGACAAGGAGTAGGGTCGCCTGTCCAACCTCGTGGGTTTTCTCCAGGTCCTCTGATTTCCTCCCACTGCTAAAGACCCCTGTGCACAAACGAATTATTGAAATAAAATTGAACCATATGTTAGTCCCGAAATAACCTAATTTCTCTCTCTCTCTATTTGTTAAGGCCAGCTCAATTTTTGTCAAGGTCCTGACATGACCTGGTTTGTGTCCAGCCTCTCTCTCTCTCTCTCTCTCTCTCTCTCCTTCCACTCTCTCTCTCTCTCCGCCAAAATGATCAGGTTATGTTGAGTTAACATTAAATGACTTTTATTTCTTTTATTCCAGGAATTTTCTACCTGATTGGATCGAACAGTCAACTGGTTATTTGGATCAAGATTCAAGTCGTACAAGAGATGGATATCGCGATCTACATCGTATGAAACTAGCCGCGCGAAGTCAGCCCGATTTATCCTCGTATAATAAATCATACAACCGTCATAATCACTTGATCGAAAGCTCTCGTCAACGTAATGTCGACAGCTTGTCAAGTTTACATCATGCAGATAATAAATTTAAAAGGCCCCGATCGCGGAAATTGGATTCTAGTGATGGATTATTAATCAGCAAACGACCGGTTTCCGTCTCGCATTCACATGTTAACGGCATTAGAGACTATAATTATGTGAATTCTCCGCGGGGTCGGCCATCTTCTGCAATAGATTTTATGATGCCTGCAGCAGACACACCACGTCAGCGATCAAATCGTGATCATTTGTTAAACAGACCGCACACGTCACTCGGGCCATTGACTCGAAACAATAATTTCCAAATCCAAAATGGCCGCAATTATCAAGATAACTATCCAGGGGAGATAAACGGGGAATATCCAGAACCCCGCAATTCTACAAATTTAAGGATGCGGGAATCGTCTTCACAAGCCCACATGATGAATCAAGTTGATGCGGAGCGTTATAACAACATGCCCAGTACTAATGGTGATTTAACAGATGGGCCTTATTATAACGGAAATACTCCACGCTATCAGGAGAAGGTGGACGAATATCCCAACCTACACGGCGTATCTCAGTACCACGCTGATATCGAAGATGAAGATGATACGGCTGTTTCACCCAATGAAAACTTAGATAACAATGATCAGATAAATTACCATCAACCACGACCAGACGTAGAATATCGTCAAAATCCCGAGTTTAATCTACAGCCTCATTACGAACAAAATAGTTATAACAATAGTGATCGCGCGCATTCGGATATCAGCCATGAAGATATTGATCATTCCGTGACGCGAAGTTTACGTCTGGATGATATTAACGCCGATCCTGTTATGAACAGCACGGAACATGAACACGAACATGAAACTGAGGGAGAACATTTATCTTCCCATAATCCTCCTCCTGCTCATCATGTCTCCCATAGTAACATAAGTGACCTTGAAAACTGTGATATCCGTAATGAATTTAAAATGAAGTCTGATAAATTGGCTGAAAATCTCCGTGTTCGAGATCTGTCCATCGATCAAAAATCGCAGTCCATTTGTGTGACAGATGACTTTGCAAATTTACAAAAGAATCTCGAAAGCAAGAAAAAGAAAAAACAAACAAAACGCTACACGTCATTAGAACATATTCCAATGGCTGCCGATGATGACAGTCATGCCAGGCGGAGACATACGATTAAATCATCTCTCAAAAATCTCTTCTCGAAAAAAAAGTAAGTATTGACGCTACAGGTTTTTTTTTTGTTTCTATTGAGAATAAAATAAATTGAATAATATTTGTAGCTTGTCATTGTATAACAAATAATTAAATATCCGCTCTCATATCTTGGTCGTATTTTTATAAATTATCCTATTATTAAATATTACCACAGGATGACTGTTTCCCAATCTAGGGATTCAAGAAGTCAAATAGGCCCACATTCGGGAAAAGTAGTTCCGTAGAAAACACTCAGTAAAATTGAATATGATATTGTTGGTGTTCGGACAATGAATTTTAGTAGAAGAGTGACATTAATAGGAATGGTGATCATCTTGCTATGGGTTGATGATCCATGTTTTTAATAACTATTCAGATGGCCCATGTTAGGATTCTGGTAGCATGTCCCCTAAATGCTTACACCCGTAATCAGAAATAAGACTGAACAGTAAATACAGATGTGGGGGGAAAGGGGGGGGGGTCATAGATCTGAATAATGTCCCAGTGGTCACATGAGGGGAAAACAAAATAAATACGGTTTCAGACTGAAATGAAATAATTATAGGAAATATACCAACAATTGTGAATCTAGATATTCAAAAATGAATAGATTAATAGGAATTCTACTTGAAGTGTTATAAACGTTTTGTTTATTTTATATAATTCAATGGAATACTGTTACTGTTTATTACTGGGTGATAGTTGTTGTTGATGTTTATCATTGCCCATTTGTATTTATTTATCAATCATGTGCGCTGAATCATAAGGTCTGTCATTGAGTCAACTGGTATGGTTTTGATTTTTTGGTTGTACGTGACAAGGAGTAGGGTCGCCTGTCCAACCTCATGGTTTTTCTCCGGGTCCTCCGGTTTCCTCCCACTGCTAAAGACCAGTAATTGTATTCAATAGAATTGTGTATACTTCAGTTCTATTAAATATTATAAAGATTTTATGTATGTAATGTTTTATGAAGACATGAAGCATGATTAGTTTTGTTTTATTATTTACCCAGGCATGGTCCCGACAGTTAATATATAATAATATTATCGTGTATGTATATACCACAGTTAGTCCTTGTCTGTTAATTAACTGTCACCATTGCACTCCGTATTATTCACTGTTTCTCTGTTTCTCCTGCTCACTAAATTAACAATGCTTCTAGTTTACAAAGCTTTAACTTTAATCATTTAATAATTATAATGTTCTCAGATGTAAAAAATCTATAAAAAGCCCAAACCATGTTTTATCAGAAATATCAATTTTTAAATAGAAATACTCATGTTTTAAACTTAATAAAATCATCGTTGATCAATCGTGTTGTCCCGTGTCTTTGTTAGCCCAGGTGGAGCGGAACAGTAAGACATTAAACCTCATAGAATTTGCGTTGTTGAGATGTGAAATTATTCCCAGCTTAAGCTGTACTATAATGTACTCAAATTAACATTTAACCAAGACAACAAAATCAACATATCAATGATAGATAATCTACCTGCTTGGAATTGATCACATTAAAATGATGAGGCCCATCAAAAGAGCTCAGCCCAGATCATGTGGCACAAGCTTAAATGACAATTAAAGACTTTAATATTTCAAAGTATTAATCAATAGTGAATATTCAGATGACTCAACCTTGACTTTTGGTAATCAATCTATATTTAATTGTCTCAGAATACATAAGCACTTTCTGCCTTGGGCACAGATGGTATTAAATTGATGGTGTTATTGATATCTGAGACAAAGTAAGCACTATCTGCCTTGTGCACTGATATAAAATGGTATTTAGAAAACTTTATTTTTACCTAATAGTTCTGAAGATGACCTGTTGATATATGATCGGATGCCACCACCCAGGCAAGATGTAAATCAAAGTACAATACACAATAAATAGATAAACCTTTTCTTATTCAAGTAGATGTCTTTATTTCCTTGCTTTCTGCTAGATAAAATGGAGAGACCCATGTTTTACTAAACGTTTCCAAAAATAGAAATTATAAACGGAAATGTCCAGAATATTTTTTGTATGACCTTGTTTTATACAAGTTGGTTCAGTTCTGTGGAAAGAATCTTTGTATTATTTTATCATACTTTTTGTATTGTCCTTTAAAAATATGCAAAAATATATTTGAAAACAGAGCTTAATAAATCATTGGTCCTCCATTTTAGATTATATTGTGTTGGCATTTGGACTTAGTACATTGTAATTTTTGCTGTGTCTGTTTTTTTGTTGTGCTGTTTTCCTGCACACTGGCATAATATTTTATAGCTAAAAAAAAGATTAAAGTGATATTATCTTTAGAGAATCTTTACTTTTAATAGATTGCATGTTTATATTTATGATGCAAGATATTTATTCAGAGGTATTTAGGTCCCTATGATTATACAAATTTAGGGGGTTCGATGTGATGCAATGGTTTTGGAAAGACATTTTGGCCACAGAGGTATTGCACGGACATTTATAACAAAGAGGTTAATACCGCAGAGGTTAAATAGGTCAGGGTCAGGGTTTCAAATTTAGAACTTAAAACTTCTATGACCAAAATGTCCTATATCGTACATTCGGCCAAGGTTCCTTACTAGACGTCATCATTTGGTTGTTTTGATTATTGTATATAATAATTTGATATTTTCAATATTTAGCATATCAGTCAAAATGAAAAAAACATGTACTTTTAAACAAAATGTCGTCTTATGTAACAGAAAAAAAAAATCTTAAAATATGTTAGATTAATTTATGCAAATATGTAAATTAGATTTAATGTGTGCTGATATGGTTTAATTTATGCAAATATGTAAATAGGTTCTATGAATTAATTAAATATTCCTTCTATTTTAGAGGCTGTATCAGGATGGATGACCTTGAAGCAGAATTTGCGAAGGAACAAAGAAGGAAACAGATAATGATGAAGGTTAACAAATTTCCTCAAAATGGAGTCCGAAAACAATTGACAGATAATGGCCGTTTGGCAGCCATTAGAAATATTCGTCCACAATTTTTTACTTCATTTTTTCAGCAACGGGAACAAGCTAATGGTTGTGTTAATGCGTAAAAAAAATTATAAAAAAATCTTTTGATTCTTCCTTAAGAATTGATTTTAAAATCAGATGAACTCTTTGATTTGGGTGGTCTAGTGGTTTAAAGGGTGTGCATGAAATCAGAAGGTCTGTTATTGAGTCAAGTGACATGGTTTCGATTGCCCCGTTGTACGTGACAAGGAGTAGGGTCGCTTGTCCAACCTTGTGGGTTTTCTCCGGGTTCTTTGATTCCTCCCACTGCTAAAGACCCCTACATACATGCAAATTATTGAAATAAAATTGAACCTTATGTTAGTCCCGAAATGACCTAGTTTGTGTCGAGTGGACTTAAACAAATGAACCCAATTCAAAACTTTTTATTAAAACCTAAATCAAGGAGTTCTAGTTCCATTCAGTTACAACTCAATGAATCAATTTTAAGTTTTCGTAAATAAGGATTGGGCCACGAGTTCACAGACTTAAGTAAAGAATTTACTCTAAATTGTTTGCCGCTTTTATTTAACTAAAATATAGCTGTTTATAAAACTTTTGTTGTTTTAATGTATCAAATACATCAATAAGAAACTATGTGTAAAGTTTTGTGTTTCTGGATAAAAGATATTTCTCATAGACAGTGATTGAAAGTTGGGTAAATTCTTAACTTAACTAAGCATCCTTTGTGAACTTGAGGCAAGGCGTTTCGTACTTTCTTTGGAAAAGTTGGAAGAACTTGTGAGTTGGTTGCGGTTCTGAAAAATTCCAAATTTTGTAACAACTAAGAAATATTTAAAAATAAAATTGGTTCGGCCTCTTTAAATATTGAAAGACTTCGCTGCAGGTAAATCGAGATTAATTGTGGATTACACAATTATATAATATCTGTTTCTGTATCTATGACCCGCAAAAATTAATATAGAATGTGTCGCGTTATATTGTATGTGGATTGACATCTCTACCAATATATGTAATATTTCAATACAATAATGTTATATTTTGTCAAGTATAGTGTACCATACAGCTAGTTTTCTATGTCATTGAACAGACAATAAATTATACATAATAAATATGATATGATCTAGATTTGATTGTATGGATTGACATCTTTACCAAAATATGTAATATTACAATACAACAATACAATATTTTGTCAGGTATAATGTACCATACAGCTTAATGTACAATTTTGTTAGCTAGTTTTCTGTGTCACTGTCCTTGAACAAGTAAATAAATAATACATAATAAACTTGAAGGGACAGCTCTACGAACTATTTCTAATCTCAAATATTGAAATGATTTAGGGATAATTTAGAGGATATAGTAAAAACATGACACCAGAGATTTATTAAATATGCGATAAGAGATACAGATCTAGGAAAATAAATTATTATAGTTTTTTATCGAAGATTGTGTATTTTTCGGACATCTAATTTAACCCATGCTAAAATGTATCCAAATTAATAATAATAATAATAATGAATTTGTATAGCGCCTCTCATCTAGAACTGTTCTACTCGATGGCGCTGAGCTGCACTGTCACGTTTGGTATTCACAGTTAAATAAGTGAGTCTTCAAGGGTGATTTAAAGGACTCTAAAGTTCTGGATTCAGATTTAAATGAGGCTCATCAATACATTTTACCCAAAACTTATAGGCGGCACAAAGGGTGGTTGAACGGTTAACGCATATGTGTGTTGTATCATAAGGTCTGTCATTGAGTCAAATGGTGTGGTTTCGATTCCCAGGTTGTACGTGACAAGGAGGAGGGTCGCTTGTCCAACATCGTGGGGTTTCTTCGGGTCCTCTGGTTTCCTCCCACTGCTAAAGACCCCACGCAAGTAAATTATTGAAATAAAATTTAAAAATTATCCCCCAGGTGGCACTGGCTTGTTATATATACCACCTGCAGATAGACGATACCAAATATTGCAACCCTTTTACCTTTTATGATCCAGCTTTCACAATGAACATAGTTTGAAAAGTATTTAAAATCCCTCATTTGATGATCAGCAGAAAGAAATTATAAGTCGAATTATCTTTAAATAAAATGTCCCTTTAAATATCAGAATGCTATTTAAGTCAGTAGGTCATTAGTTTGTTTACTAATTATGAAAATGAAAGTAGGGGATTTTGATCTATAAATATAATGCTACCGGTACTGGCATTACTGACTATGAAAATGAAAGTAGGAAATTTCTGTTCTATAAATAAAGTGAAAAAACATTTTCTGTCAGGTTTTGCTGAATATTCATGATTTTGAGGCGGAAGGATACAAGAGTTGAGAGGTCGGTTAGGTTGAAATGTAGGGCAGAAAATTGCATGTTTATTGGTCTTTACTTCCAGTATGTGTATCTCAAGTTTTCCATGGTGAACCTCATATACGTGCTTTTGAGCAAGGGGTTGCCACATGTTTCTCCATCTGTGGGAGAAAGCGCTCTATCCAACGAAAATTTGGAAAAAGTTAGAGCCGATCTAAAAGACGAGAATTAACATTAAAGTCAATGTGTCAATCATTGGCGATCTGTGGTCAGCTACACTGGAATCATTCTAATGACCTATTATAGTAATGGGGCCAAATAAAATTTTAGCAACTGTATAAATTGTATTAAAAATATATTGTAAATTGTACAAGCATTATTATTTGTAAATTGTATTAGTATTGTATTTGTAAATTCTTATTTGTTTGTAAATATTTGAAGATATAATTTAGATTTGTATAAAATAAAATAATTTATTTGAGATCAAATAAAATTTGATATTATTTATCCACATTGTGTGTATAAAGTGTCTGACACTGAGTGGTATAATTGATATTAAAGTATCCACATTGTGGTGTATGTATATCCACATTGTGTGTATAAAGCGCCTGATACTGGATGGTATACATGTAATAGAGACTATACATGTAATTGATATTAAGTATCCATATTGTGTGTATAAAGTGTCCAATACTAGGTTGTAGGTCTACAATTGATATTAATTCCACATAATGTGTATAAAAGTGCCTGATACTTTGCGGTATAAAAGTGTCGGATTCCGGGAGCTATAATTAATATTAATTATAATCATTGTGTGTATAAAAGGGCCCCGATACACAATATTATAAATATTATTTTTATACAACCTACAGCAATTGTGGCTACCTGATGTAGGTTCGCAGGCACCTTAAGATGTTAATATTCTTACAGATTCTGGGGACTGTTTAATCTTGAACTTTTGACCTTTTTAATGTATTGGTAAGATTGCCAGAATATACACTACAAAGTTCCATTTATAGTTTAGTTTTTCAGAATTTTATCACACCCCATGGGAGATACCAAGCCCCCAGACCCCATCCCACTGTCCTTGATCAACAGACCTCCATTCGACATGACCCTAGGGTTCAATTTTGGTGTAAACTCTTCCAGTAAATAATTATTGTAAAACCTAATCATAGATTTCAACAAAAATCAAAAAAATATATCTTTCGTTAATGAATAGGTTTATCATTCAATAATTCAAGAAAATATTCTGGAATTTGGCCAACTCCGACAAGGAATTTGCCCTGTCCCCACCTCATGAAATTTGAAAGTTTGTATTTCCTCGAAAAAAGAACCTCAGAGTTTCAGATCTAGTTGTACAGGACCAGGATAAAGCTTTACAAGAGTTTTTCACCACGATTAACAAGTTCTATTTACTAAAATATAACGGCGACAGATCCTTTAAACCACAGTTAATGGCCTCCTTAGTCTTTGATCATGTCCCTAAATCTGACAAACTTGCCGTTCCTATATCACCAATCATTGTATGGTCTACGTCTTGTTTCTAACGGCCCTGTCATATTGGTTGTGAATCTTACTGGTCAGTCCATTTACATGTCAAAAATAAGAATTATAAAGAATTTTACCACAAGACACCCGCAGGTGAAATTTATAGTGTTTATGTGTAAAACGCTTAAAGATATATATCAAAATTTGCAAAATTCAAAAATTTGTTAAGTTCTTTGAGAAACATATCTTGCTTGTCCAAAGTAAACTGAATAGATCAATAACTGACCAACAACAATAGCATTGAAGTAGTATCGGTCAGGTTTACTCCAAAACCTGGTGAAGTATTGAAGTTAAATTCTTATAAGGTCTCATTCATGCCAGTTATTAAAGTGGAAGCCTTAAAAGGTTACATTCATGCCAATCTTTGAAGTGAAAGCCTTATAAGGTATTGTGCCAATTTTTGAAGTTAAAGCCTTATAAGGTCTCATTCATTAATAACTAGAAGTTTATAATATTTGTAATGTTAATATAGAGAGCTGGCTCTTGTATACAGTGATATCATTTATATATTTAAACAATAAACTTAATAATTATATAGTCTTGTCATGTTTCAAATATTCCCTGTGTTCAGTCTGTATCATAAGCTCTGTCATAGAGTCAACTGGCGTTGTACAGGACAAGGAGTAGGGTCGCCTGTCCAACCTTGTGGGTTTTCTCTGGGTCCTCAGGTTTCCTCCCACTGCTAAAGACCCCTACGCGCAAGCGAATTATTGAAATAAAATTGAACCATTTTGATATGACGATCAGATGATCATTCATGCCCTCTTTTGAACCAGGAACAGCTCCCATATACTTGGTAGTTTTCAATAAAGACAAAACAAAACCTAATCCGTAGGATGACACAAGAACCCTGTTCTCCTGTATATATACCATTAGGAGCACGCTAAAGATCCCTCAACAAATGGATATTGAAACAAGAGTAGGCTGTAGTGATGCAGTCCATGAAAACTTTCCTTCGTAGCATACTGCAAGGTGTATGCACGTCTCCATTAACCTGGGTTGTTGGTCTGTCATCTATGCAAAAGGTGCATCCGATCCCGATTTCTCACTTACTGACAAGGGTGATCATGGCCATATTAAGGTTTTGTTGGCCCTAAGCTAAAAATTTCAGTGTGCCTATTACACAGACATCCATCCATCAAATAGAAAATATCAGTGACATATGTACATTATACAGGTGTTGCATTGGTTTGGATTTATTAAACCAAGTGAAAGTTGAAATATACATTATGGGAGATTAGATAACGAGTTGGCAGTTCTCACTATAATAGTTAAAGATAGGTTGCCAGGCAACTAAATATACGCCCACAGCAGCTAAATCGTCCGAGCGGTCGACAAGAGTTGTTGTATATTTGTTCTTTTGTAGGTAATTAGGGGGCATTTAATAGACAATTTCACACAGATGACATTATAATTTTCGTCGTTTGAGGGTTCATAAGATTCTAAAAACTAAAACAAGGGTTGTAACTCTGGAAGTAATCTACAGAAATTGTTGAAATTCGACAGACTTTTTCGTTTTACTAATTCAAATAATACATATCAATTTCATACAGATCAGATGATAACTTTTGTCGTTCGAACGTTCACAAGGTTCAACAAAGTAAAACAAGGGCCATAACTCTAGAAGTAATTGACATAAATTGCTGACATTCAATAGGCTTCTTCATTTCACTAATTTAAATGATGCATATGAATTTCATACAGACTGGGTGATAAATTTTGTCGTTCAAGCGTTCACAAGATCCAACAATGTGAAACAAGGGCCATAACTCTAGATGTAATTAACGGAAATTTGCTGAAACTCAATAGGCTTGTTCGTTTTACTAATTTAAACGATACCTATAAATTTCATACAGATCGGATAATAACTTTTGTCGTTAAAGCATTCACAAGGTACAACAAAGTGAAACAAGGGTCATAACTCCAGACGAAATTAACGGAAGTTATTGAAATTAAATAGGCAACTTCATCTCACTAATGCAAACAACATATATCAATTTCAAAACAATCAGATGATAAATGTAGTGTGTAGAGTGTTCACAAGAAATTGTGGACGATGGACGGACGGACTGGGGCGACGGCAATATACGACCACATTTCCATGTGGACGTATAAAAACTAGATAATGTAAAAGGAATTTGCTGAAAATTTCAGTCAAATTGATCAACTATGAACCGAGAATTAAGCGATTGAAATTTCAGCCTAGCTTTGATCATCATTAACAAAGTAGTCGGTACGATAAAAAAAAAACAATCTCGATTATCCATTTCATGATTAAATCATAAATGAAAGTTGAGCAGCAAATCGGATCATAATGCAATAAATATTGCGGCAAGCGATGGCATCAGAGTTGATTATGGTTTGGATAAAATAATTAATGTCTAATTAATAATTTAGATAACATTTCAGGCCTACAAAAGACCTGCAATAGGCAGATTTAGCTCTTGCATAGTATATGTTTAAGGAAACAAAGAGAATGATTATGTGGGACCCTAGGCCATGGCCTGTGTCTGAATCCGGTGATGTGGAACTCCTGGCCAACGTTCGGATGGAACCTAGGACATCCTGGCAGTGCCTCGGAGCCATCAATGACTTAGGTATCGTATAAGCGACAAAGCATAACGCCCCGAAACAATTTCTGACTCTTGGGGGTGGTGGACCTTTAAATGTTATTAGTTTTTCTGTTGACCCACAAGGATCTGTCTTGGTACACATCTCACCTTGGGTCGCACTATGTCTAAATCAGGCACTGCATTTGAACCACGTGACATCAAGAACAAAAACGGACAATTCAAAGATAAAAATTTATTATAAACAGACAAATCATTAATCGTGTCCTGTATTTATAAATTTGTGTTCAAAAAGCAGTGGAAACACTAGCGAATCGTCTGGCCAAATCAGCCAAATGAATGGATACACAAGTCGATTGCATCTCCATTGATTCAGGTGATTCATTCGGCCGAAAGACAATGGACACACTAGGTGAATAATAGGACACGAATAATATGGAATACAACATTACTGAGTGATATTTTTATTGGCTAGGATTTTCTTGTCTTTATCAAGTGAATGAGACAACTATTTCGTAACATTATTACGATTTGATGAATTATTATTCCCACTTAAATGAAGAGACGCCATAATCGTATTCCATAGAATTATGTCCCTTGTATTTCCAGTTCAATTGAATAATGCCTCTAGAATTAAACATTTATAGCTCTCATTACAGTTTGTAATATATGAAGAGCCCAATGGAAGAACGATCTAAGTCATTTTTTCAACGGACCCCAGTTAATGGGGCCATCTGGTAGCAAATTGTACAAGCTTTCTGTGGAATAATCAATTTCAGGTAAACACGATCGGAGTCACATCGAACCAAGGCCCTTCTGAAATGGCCTCCCTAAAATACGTCCCATCGTCCCATCGTACCCTTAATTTGCCTGAAAAGTTGAAGTCAGTTGTTGTACTGGTAATTATAATTCGTGTTAAACTTCATTTTGAAGATGTAATTAAACCCACTCGTTGTTCTGGTCGCGTCAAGCATTCTCGTCCAAAAGTCTGTTTTACCTTTTATGCGAAAAGACAAAAATGTGACATAGATCATTCTTCCCCTGGACTACTCATATACCATTCAGTGCTAAGATAAAGGAGGCCTCATGTCAAGGTATATAATATTTTCATTGTTAGTTATAAATTTATGAATATATATATTGAGATTCAACGAATATGATAAAATTACAGCAAAATAAACTGACATGGAAGCATAAATACCTGATAATGCCCAAACAGGGAGGTAGAATCAGTACGCCTAGATAGGAATAATAATCAACACAACATGCCAATCAAATAAACAAATATTTAAAATTAAATAAACTAAACTAATTAATTCTCTTATTGACAAGCTGCTGATTGTCTATTGAACGATCCTAGCAAACTACAAGATTGTTAAAGTTTAAACTTTAAAGATACATTATGTAAGATTTAGATAAAGAGCTGAGAGCCCTACCTATAATAATTTTAAAAAAGATAATGTAAAGAAATATGCTGAGAATTTCAGTGAAATTACTTCACTCTGAGCCTAGATATTAGCGATACAATTATAGCCTAGCCTCTATTTAAACTGTTTCAATGGCATTTAGTAATTGAACTAGAATATACAGGTCACAATTCTATATATTGTCCTGTCATATTTTCATTTTTTATCATAGCTTGATAATGACTAGAGAAGCCTAGTGGAAACGTCGCTCAGTAAAAAGCAGTAATTGTATTCCATAGAATTGTGACCTGTATAGCCTCTATTTGTCGTTATGATAATAAACAAAGCCTTAATTATCCATTTTTACGGTAACCACATCCATCCCAAATTGTATTTGAATCTACTAAATACCACAAGCATCCGATGGCATCGAGAGTTGATTATCTTCTTGGTAAGTTAATTAATGCCTAATAGGCAGATTTAGCTCTTGTATAATGTATCTTTAAAAATGAATAACAGTCCCCAAATGTTTTAATTCTATTCATTATTTACAAAGATATGATGAAATGAAAATTTTTGCAATAAACATGTCAGCACCACAAATATTCTATAAAATATTTTGATGGGCCTCTATTTTAATACAATTGAATCAAAGCAAGGAGATTATCTACCATTAAAATTTTGGTTTTGTTTTCTAAATAAATGTTTAAATAAATCGTAGATTAGGTCCTGATAAATTTAGATATTGCCTGAATAATGCTAACAATGATTAGCAGCTTGAACAGAAATAAAATTGATATATTTTAATAAAGTGATATGACGGAGGGACGGACGAACTCTGCTTTCAACGATTCGCAGGGGACAATAAAAATAAACTTGTGTTATAAATACATATAATTTAGTAACTGACAATAAATATGAAATATTTTAATGAAGTACGTTGAAGTCATATTGACAGCCATCTTTATCCATCCTGGTTACAACATGACCTGTAGGTCTTTAGTCACAGCCAATCATAATCAAGATACTGTACATGACGTCACATAAACCATTCAACTGAAACATAACAACAGAAACTAGGTCATTTCAGGACTAACATATGGTACAATTTTATTTCAATAATTTGTTTGAGAACAGGAGGATCTTTAGCAGTGGAAGGACCCGGAGAAAATCCACAATGTTGGACAAGTGACCCTACTCCTTGTCACGTACAAGCAGGGAATCAAAACCAGACCACTTGACTCAATGACATGTTCTAAAGAGAGAAATGGGGTTTAAGGTCCACTTGACAAAACCACGCCAGTTGACTCAATGACAGACCTTATGATACAATGTGCACATGCTATACTCCCAACATGATGTAAAGTGCATACGTGAAACCATTTGCCCCCCTCCCCACCCCCAATCACCAATAGAATTTAAAGCCCAACATACTAGGATAAAGGTTAATTATATAGTTTAAGCAATATTTAGGTCATTATGAGACTAACATATGATGTACAGGTAATAATATTAAAAAGGTATTACTGCAATTCACAGGTAGATGTTTTTTTACAATTTAAAATGAAATGAAATGAAATGGGGTTTAATGTCCAACTGTTCTGCTCCAACTGGGATAATGCAGCCGGGCATACGCCATACAGTGTGCTATGAGGGAAATTTTGCCCGGACAGCGGCACTACGGTCTACTCTTATATCGAATTCCAACTGTCAAGGGATCTTTTACGTGCATGCCAATGTGTACATTGGACCTCGGTTTTTCATCCCATCCAAACGAACAGCTGTTCTTGTCAGGCCCTCCTTCCTGCATCACTGACAAGGAGGAATCATTTCGGAAAAAATCTGGATGAACTTTCTTGACTAATGCAAGAGATCAAACACCCGACCTAAATACTAGCGAGCCAGAGCCACTGTGTTCCCCTTTACAATTTGATGTGTTTCAACTATACAGTTACATACTCCTTGTCACGTACAAGAAGGGAATCGAAACCACACCACTTGACTCAATGACAGACCTTATGATCAAATACGCACCCCATACTCATACATACACTCAATCCACCTCATAAATAAAGCTATGATAAATTACATTGTACATATTGTCTTTAAGCTACTTTCATGGGAATATAAAACTGCTCCGACTGGGCTAATGAAGACGGGGAACCTATAATGTCTGAAGATGGAAGAAGAAGTTTCTGTTAAACTTACATATTTCAATAATTAATTGTCTCCCACGATAATTCTTGCTTATAAAGCTGCTCGTACACCTTCAATTATTTTCTTCATCTTCTTATCACTATCAACATATCCATCCCCATTCTACAAATATATAGAAATATTGTTTATTTATTCTACCAACATTGTTTAATTATTTATTTTCATTAAATGAAATGGGGTTTCCATAGCCGTCGGTCTTGACTGGCCGACAGGGGAAACACATGGGTATAACGTTTGTTCTGAACCAAATAGGCTAGTGAAGCTATGTATGAGTGAAATTTTGCCGAACAATGCCTTCTGCTTATTCTTGATCCATTTTCAACTGTCAAGAACCTTTTACATGCACACCCACGAGGATCTCGGGGATCTCGAGGATCTCGGGGATCTCAGTTTTCTTACCATTCAAATAACTAAACAGAATTACTTGCCTGACCCGCCATTCGGCACCACTGACACCAGACTGGAAAATCCCTGAGGAACTTTCTCGATGAATGTTTCTGGGTTATTGAGTGAGAATGTTTCTGGGTTATTGAGTGAGAATGTTCCTGGGTTGCTGAGTGAGAATGTTCCCAGGTTACTGAGTGAGAATGTTCCCAGGTTACTGAGTGAGAATGTTCCTGGGTTGTTGAGTGAGAATGTTCCCAGGTTACTGAGTGAGAATGTTCCTGGGTTGTTGAGTGAGAATGTTCCCAGGTTACTGAGTGAGAATGTTCCCAGGTTACTGAGTGAGAATGTTCCCAGGTTATTGAGTGAGAATGTTCCCAGGTTACTGAGTGAGAATGTTCCCGGGTTGCTGAGTGAGAATGTTTCTGGGTTACTGAGTCAGAATGTTCCTGGGTTACTGAGTGAGAATGTTCCTGGGTTGCTGAGTGAGAATGTTCCCAGTTTACTGAGTGAGAATGTTTCCAGTTTACTGAGTGAGAATGTTTCCAGTTTACTGAGTGAGAATGTTGCTGGGTTGCTGAGTGAGAATGTTCCCAGGTTACTGAGTGAGAATGTTCCTGGGTTGCTGAGTGAGAATGTTCCCAGTTTACTAAGTGAGAATGTTCCTGGGTTGCTGAGTCAGAATGTTCCTGGGTTACTGAGTGAGAATGTTCCCAGGTTACTCAGTGAGAATGTTCCAGGTTTACTGAGTGAGAATGTTCCCGGGTTGCTGAGTGAGAATGTTTCTGGGTTACTGAGTCAGAATGTTACTGGGTTACTAAGTGAGAATGTTCCCGGTTTACTGAGTGAGCAAGCGCCAGACTCATCAAGCCAACAGTGGCTACCATATAACACTGGAATCTGTAACTATAGCAACTTACCTTCTTGGAGTGAAGTAATTTGCCCCCAACAATCTGAACCTCTAACCAGCCGGTACTCTGTGGAGTACCTTCGCCAGTCTATTAAAAAAAGAGAAAAGAAGTTTACCTTAAAACCGCCAATTGTCATTCGTGGGATTGTCAAGTTGAATCTTTAAAGGGAATATCAGTTCAAATATGGTTCTTTAAAGTGCACCTCTTCGTTAAAACCTATGTTCATCATTTTTTAAAAGTCAATATCAGTACCAAAATGGTTACGTTCTGTTCAGTATTTACAAAAGTATGAAGAATTGAAGATATTGCAACATTAGGCATCCTCTAAGACAGCGCCACCTATAATATTTTGATGGGCCTCTTTTTAATCTGATTGGATCCTATCTAGGAGATTATCCACCAATGACATTTTGGTTTGTGATAAAGTCTTAAAAAATTAGAGATTGTCCCAAAACCGCAAATGACGATCAGTTATTTTAATAAAAACATAACTTAGAAGTCAGGCCATGTTTTAAGGTCATGTATTATTGACAGTCATTTAGACTTTTATAAAATTCAGGGTTATATTCTTCCAAAATGCACCTTTCTTTCATGGATGTTTTGGTTATTTTTAGCTGTACCTTTACTTCTTCAACTCGCTAAGTGCAATGGCGAAGCCAATAAGCCATGACAGAGAGAGAGAAAGAGAGAGAGAAATGGGGTTTAACATCCACATGACAAAAACTAGGTCATTTCGGGACTAACATGGTTTAATTTTTTATTTCAATAATTCGCTTGTGCATACGGGTCTTTAGCAGTGGGAGAAAACCGCAGTACCTGGAGAAAATCCATGGGGTTGGACAGACGACCCTACTCCTGGTGACCCTACTCCTGGTGACCCTACTCCTTGTCACGTACAATCGGGGATTCGAAACCACAGCAGTTGTCTCAATGACAGGCCTTATGATACAGCGCGGACATGTAAACCATTTGGCCATCCAATCCCCCAAGCCATGACAAATGGTCCTAATCTCGCTGTCACGACTCACTTCACTACGATTGATCACCATCAATAGGAGCCTGGGCCCTTATTCACGAAAACTTAAACTAAGATAAAATCGAAACTTTAAGAAATACTGCAATTCGATTGGCTGACCAGTAAAATCAATTTTCATATATCCAATAAAGTTGCAGTATTTCTTAAAATTTCCATTTTATCTTAGTTTAAGTTTTCGTGAATAAGGGCCCAGGCCTAAGCGTCTACAGCATGGTACAGTCCTGGACCTGTATGTTGTATTAAATGATAAAAAAACTCACAGCAAGGGAAATAAGTTACTTACGATTTCTAATTGTCCTGGGAATTCTTTTTCCAGTGCCGTTTTAATGGCCCTGTACTGTAAAAAAAAAAATCTTTAAATTGTGTCAAAATAGAGTAAACAAGCCAACAGTTTATAGGCTGATGTCCCCTGCCTCAATCCCAAAATATAGAAAACAAGCCAACAGTGAGTAACCCAAAATATAAGACACTCTTTATCATTGTTTATACATCTATAATGTAGCAATCAAACTTCTTATTAAGGGCCATTGTGGGAGATTAAAAACTAGAAAATGTAAAGGGAATATGCTCAACTTTGAACCAAGATATTAGTGATTGAATTTTAGGCCTCGCCTTGATCATCATTACTAAGTCGGTACGACACAACAATATAGTCACGATTATCCATTTTTGGATTTAATAATCAATGAAAGTTGAGCAGCAGATCAGATTCAAATCCAATGAAAATCTGACACATAAGATGGCTTCGAGAGTTGATTATGTTCTGTATAAGTTAATTAATAATCTAATTAATAAATTAAATAACATTTAAGACCTAAAGAAAGACCTGCAATAGGCAGATTTAGCTCTTGCATAATGTATGTTTAATATTCAACTTAACCTGAGCAGGAAATGATCTTTATCAAACTTAGTGAAGCTTTTGATGTGTGGTGATCTGAAACGCACGTTCATAGCCCGATCCAGGTCCTCAGTTTTGATGTAATGAAACAATACACCAATATTAATCTCTGTCACTCATTTAGAATCAAAGTTATTGTTTTCCAATTAAAACATAAACAAATCAAATTGCTTATCTCTGCTCACCTTAATCAGAAAACACTCATCTTCGAACTCCATCAAGGCACTGACCTAATAAACACCTACACCAGGTTTGAACATTCTACCTCAATTAGAAGGAGAGACAGACAGACAAACAATTTCAATAATCCCCGCCACTCTATTAGTTCATCAATCTCTTCAATAACATTTTCTACCTAATTTCTAATTAACAAATACAACATCCACTCAATAAAAACTAGGTAGGGGATTTCGGGACTAACATATGGTTTTATTTTATTTCAATGATTCTCGTGTGCATTAGCAGTGGGAGGAAATCAGAGGACCTAGAGGAAACCAACGAGGTTGGACAGGCAACCCTACTCCTTGTCACATACATGTACAAGCAGGGAATTGAAACCACGCCACTCGACTCAATGACAGACCTAATGATCTAAAGCCCATGTAATAAACCATTCAACCATCTCCACAACTTCTAATAAATAAATACACCAAACATGGGTTCACTAATCACTCTGGGAGCCACGGTGGCTAAGTGGGTAAGACGCTGGCTCGCTAGCCTGGATGTCGGGTGTTCGACCCCTGCATTGGCAGAGAAAGTTCATCAGGATTTTCTGACGTGGTTTCCCCTTGTCAGTGGTGCAGAACGGAGGGCCTGACAAGGACAGCTGTCAAGTCCTTCGGAGGAGACGAAAAACCGAGGTCCCGTGTATACATTGGAATGCACGTAAAAGATCCCTTGGCAGTTGGAATTCGAGTAGGCGGTAGTGCCGCTGCCCGGGCAAAATTTCCCTCATAGCACACTGTATGGCTAGCCCGTCTTCATTAGCCCAGTTTAGGAGCAGAACAGTAGGACATTAAACCCCATTACATTTCTACTAATCACTGACAAAAGCATTTCTTTTGTCAATAGCGACCAAAATATTACAAACAAAAAATACATGTTATAAAACTGGTGAAAAAAATAATCTGATTATAACTATTTTAATAGTACTGTTAAAAAAAATTGATTCTTTATTTAGATGAAATGTCATGTATTTATTTATCAGAAGTTATAAGTAGGCCTTGTGCCGCATAGATAAAATGTTATTTAATAAGACTGATGAACTAGTTAATAATATATTTTTTTGTGTAATCACCAACAAGATCAGTTTTTTTTTTCAATATCATCCAGAGTAAATGACCAACAAGGAAAGGTATTTTATAGACGTGCATATTTTATAAATCGTTTCCAAAATTAAAATTGACAAAAAACTCTCTTGTCAATGATTAGAAGGATTAGTTTTGTCGAAATCTTAGTAATCCATTTTTTATGAAGTTATTTTAATTTTGGATATCCATAATTCAGTCGATTTTTATGAAATAATTTTAATTTTGAATATGATGTACATATCTATATATCAAGTGAGAATTTAATTTGTCATGAAAGATTAAATAATTACCTTGGGGGCGTAGCCTCATGCTCCACTGGAATGCAAAAAAAATATTGAAAAATAATGAATTTTATTGAAGTTTTATGTAAATAAGTTTTATCTGATCATATTACTACAGATAAAATAATGTGGTCTATTATAATATTGACTTGGTTCATGCTTCCTCGCTTGTGATGCTGGGATTAAAATAATATTTAAATATCTGTCGTTCAATATTTAACACAATCTGTTACACAATTATATCAATAATATGATTATCAAGTAACTGGAAGTGGTACCAGGTGTTCATAGAGAGCTGTAATTATAGGTCTATATATAATTATATACCCTTGTTTCCCAACCTGGGGTTTACGAATACAAACAGGTCCACAGGAAAATAATCTAATATGGATTGATCTATATGGAGAGACAGCAAAGTGAACTTCAGTATGAAATTGTTGGTACTGGTATATTATCTCATTTTTTAGCTACAAGAACATGGCTATAAAAACATTGAGATATACTAGGTGACACACAAGAGAGAGGGAGAGAAATGGGGTTTAATATCCACTTGACACAAACCAAACTAGGTCATTTTGGGACTAACATAACTAACATATGGTTCAATTTCATTTCAACAATTTGCTTGCACGATAGGGATCTTTAGCAGTGGGAGGAAACCAGAGGACCTGGAGAAAACCCATGAGGTTGGACAGGCGACCCTACTCCTTGTCACGTACAACTAGGGAATCGAAACCACGCCAGTTGACTCAATGACACAGGGCACACACGCTAAACATTCGGCCATCCACCCACCCCCCCCACCTCTCCCAGGGTCGAGAGATGAGATTTCTTATCTAGACTACAGTATGAGGGAAATTTTGTCCAGACAGCATCCCAATGGTTCCTTTAAGTGCACACTAATTTGTACGCCAACAAGGGCCCTCAGTTTTTCGTCCCATCCGAACGACTAGATTACTGTTCTTGACAGATTTATGAGAAAAGTGGTGGCACTTAAATCTTGTAATTCTGACTAAACAGAGTAACCTTGGCGATTTATAAAATATCCCATGGTTGGAAACAGCACGGTCACCGGTATATAAAACTTCAAATATCAGCTATAAAATTTGCGAAAGCCAAAGTAGACAAGAGAGATCGATAAGGTGTAGTAAAAAAACTAATACCAACCAGTAGACAACGTGTATCTTTAACACCATTCTATTAACTTGTTATTATCCACGATTTGACAATCTTCAAACTTCTCTACAACTCTTGTTGACAAATGACAATACTTTAAAATCAGTCGATTTATAAACGTGATGACGACCTGACTAGGTCAACCAAACCCGCTTACTCACTGTGTAAAACAAACACAACGTACTTCTATGGGAGGAATGAAACTATAGTCTGTTTCACATTTTATACCCGCATCTATAGTGCATCTGTTGTTTAACCAGTTTTAGATAATTTATTTGTTTGTATTTTGTATTATAGAATATGGATTGGGAGGTACAGGGGCGCCGGAACCCGGGTAGCAGGGTATACAAATGGTACCCTGCCCTTTTCAGGGGTATACATTTTTTCATTATCACGTATTTTAAAGGGTTTTATGTTGGAATTTGGACTGCTAGAGGCGCTCTAAACAGCGTTTCCGGAATTGACAAATTTCAAAATTTTCTACAGGCCGGGAAGAGAGATCCCCCCTCCTCGCCCCCCCCCCCTATCTTTTGGTACCCTGGCCCTCGTGCCGTTCTGCACTCTGGAGAGTTTTTACTTACTATATTCTGTGTTGGACTGCAACATCAGTAACTGTATTCCATAGAATTGTCACCTGTATATTCCAGTTGAATTACTAAATGCCAATGAAACAATTTATCAGATGTGGCAGTCAAACTCATTGAACAAATACGAAGAACAGAAGGAAAATATGTACATATATGTAGGCTAACCTGCGATAGGGATGCCGGTATAGTACATGTAATTAGAAGGGGTATCCCTGGATAGCCAGCATTAACTAAGTATTGTTGTGTCTTGTTATATTTTCACATCTTATTACTGCTTGATAATGACTAGAGAAGCCTAGTCGAAACGTCGCTCAGTAAAAAGCAGTAATTGTATTCCATAGAAGTTTGACCTGGGCTAATGAAGACGGGCATACCCCATAAAGTGTGCTATGAGGGAAATTTTGTCTGAACAGTGGCACTATGGCCTACTCTTACATCGAATTCCAACTATCAAGGGATCTTTTATCTTCTCGCAAAATTGTACACAGGACCACGGTTTTACGTCCCATTAAACCCCTTTTCATGTCATTTCCTAGTGCGCTTAAATAGTGCGGGCATGTTAATCTCAAAAGTGGAGTGACCCCAAACAAATTGCAAAAGAAACCAATGCAATTTGGTTCAATCATACTTACTCAAATTCGCCCGATGTCTGCCTAGGCGTAATTAATATAATTCAATATGGCGGTCTCCAGGAGATTTCTGAGAGTTATATTTTCAACTAATGCGTTTAGGTGGCCCATGAGACAACACATAGATTTTTTAAAATTAAAATCTTCAATACAAAGTGGTAATAGAGGCGAAATGTTCTGGAAATAACAAATTTAACCAAACCAATTTTTTAAAAATTCTTTCACATCGTACCAGCCATTTTTTTTTCAAAATGACCGACGAATTTGGTAATAAAATGTCATTGTCCCCGAATATAACCAGTCACTATCTCGTAAGATACGACTTTTATTATGTATTTTATATGGTTTTCAATGTCTCTGTGATTTGAAAATGAATTTTGAAAATCCAACATGGTAGAAATTCAAAATGGATACGACTTGTAACATAGCTTGGTCGCCGGGGAGACATTCCTCACGCGGCCAATCACTTTGAATTGCACAAGACGTCAGAATTTTGGGACCAAACCCGAATTTTTGGACCAAACCCAAACCCAACCCAAACCCTAACCCTAGCACGCGGTGATGTCAGTGTCGCTAAAAATAAACCATCATCTCGTTTATCAACGCGAGATTTCGTCAATTCACCATGGCCGGTGTTGTGAGGAATGTCCCCCTTGTGCAAAATTTTTGTAACATACCTTTCACGTGGTTTTAGGTGTCATTTGGTTGAATTCTTATCTCAAAACATTAATTTCCAAATCCAAAATGGGAGCTAAAATGAAGTCGAAAATGGCGGATTTTTAATTAATCGTCATTTTCGTCCGTTGTATAGAGCTTGTAATATGTCTTATATAAGGTTTTTGAGGTTACTGGGTTCAATTCTGACTCCTAAATCTAACTTTGAATAGCCCAGATGACATAAATTTAAAACGGCAATCAAATTAGAATCCATAATGGCGATTTTATCCATGTGGATATTGCTTTCTATTTTGGGTTCAGAATTAAATTTAAGAATTCAAAACATCTCTTTAGCGTTCCTTTTTAAGTGCAATTTTCTTCATTTGGTATGTCTTTGCACCATCTTCACCGGGGTTAAAATTTGTTTCGATACATCTAGTTGTTCAGAAATGGTTATGCAATGCCTGTTTACAGCCCTTGTGGTATCAATTCCAGGGATGGACTGAACGAGGAGTATGGTAGTTTCAAGGATGTCTAAACTGGTTAATGTTATTGCAAAGTTTAGGGCCCCCTTTTAGTCTTGATTTTATGTAGTTGTTGATGAATTAAGAATGCCCCACTTTAAATATATGTATAAGCTCGAAACACCATGGTATTCCATAGAAAGTACTATTTGCATACAGTTTTTCGATAACATTTCTTCATGTAAAATACTCGACTAATTCACTAATTGCTAATTTGTAACACGTTTAACACCTTATCTTCTTTCTACGTGAATTAACAATAAATTGTTCATTGGGTAAAACGGAAACATTTTGTATACCTGTAAAATAATAAACCATTTGTTAATTTATATGATAAGTTATCTATATAATAAGTTTAGATCTGCCATGTAATGCGGAAATTTGCAGCACGTTTTAACGCCATATCTTTCTACACGACCTAACAATAAATTGTTCATTGAATAAAACGGAAACATTTGTTTTATATAACTGTAAAATAATATACGACTTAACATTTTATACGGCGTATATTTTACTGATAATTAAAGTAATCAAGTAATGCAGGAATTTGAAACACCTTTTAACAATTACCTATCCTTTCCCCTCCCTAGGAATGCACTGGAATGCAGTATGGTAGTTTCAGGGCTCCCTAATAGTTAATGTTCTTCCGTAGTCATGATTGTACGTCGTTTTTGATGAATTGTTAAAATATATGCATAAGCTAAAAGCACCAGGATATACTCTAGAAACCACCATTTATAGTCAGTTTTTTTCCAAAGAAATTTCTAGTCTGGTTGTAGAGAACCCCCTTCGTTGCCCTCACGGAGAAAAGATCAGCCTGTCCTTGGTATCATATATGCATTGTCTAGTGTCCATTGCTTGGGAGGGGGGGGGGGTAACGTGCGCACTTTAGATCATGTCGGGGGGATGGATGACAGAATCGTTAGCGTGTGCGCGTTGTATCTTAAGGTCTGTCATTGAGTCAACTGACGGGGTTTCGAGTCCCCGGTTGTACATGACAAGGAGTAGAGTCGCCTGTCCAACCTTGTGGGTTTTTTCCGGTTTCCTCCCACTGCTAAAGACTCTTATGCACGAGCGAATTATTGAAATAAAATTGAACCATGTGTTAGTCCCGAAATGACCTAGTTTGTGTTGAGTTGACGTTAAACCCATTCCTCTCTCTCTCTCTCTCTCCCTCTCTCTCTCTCTCTCTCGCATACGAACCCTACCACTCACCTGTAATCTAATTGTAGATTCGTAATCTACACAAAAGGTTCTTAACGACTACCAAATTTGAGCTGTATATCAAAAGAAAACCTATAAACTGGGGTTTATTACCGTCCTAGTTTTCTATACTGACCGAGTCAATAAAAACGGATGATGTAACAGCTAATAACTTATTGTATTGGTATTTTTAAATAGCCATTAGGGTGTTTCATATTTGAACTTTTTTTCGCGATTGAACTCTACCATGTGCCATGCGTTTCCAATTGGGTCCAAACTCATCACCAGCGAATATTATAATTTTCCTACCAAAAACGCCATTTTGAATTTTTCACCAAAAATGACTCAATGTGAAGTTTTTGAAAAAGTCGGAAAAAATACTTCCCAGTACAGTAGAAAGATAAAACGTGGCACAATGCATCGAAAAGGCACAGAGATGTTCTGCGATTTATTTCAGAATTTTAGCATCAAATTTCAGGAGGTTTGCAATTTGGCATTTTTTAGAAATTTTTTTTTTTCTGTAGAATTTGTTAAGACCTTGATGATTAAACTCCTTCAAAATGTCATAAACAAACTTATCTACGCAAGTGGAGATTAATAAAGAACTAAATTAGTTATACGGGTTGTCCTCGATGAATATTTGATCATACAAGAGAGACAGAAACCATTCAAATAATCACAAAAGTCATTTAATAATCCAGACGAGCCAAAGTGTGTTTCATATAGTCAGGAAATTTGGTGTGATGCATTTCGACTGGCTGTAGCAAGGCCTGTAACTGTTCTTCATCGCCAGTCTTGTCAATGAAGTCTTGAATCGTCTTGATTCCCCGTTCTGGATCATATTTCACAGGAGTGTTTTCCACAAAGCTTAGAAATTTTCTAAATTCAAAACATTTTCCTATTCGCTACATGGTACCTGCATCTATTCCTGTGATTCGGTGAGGCCAAGAGGATTAAAGACAAGCCATGAGTCGTTAGATATAAGCTCAGAACAATCTGTTTATTGTCTATTTCTTTAATTTTGGCTCTTCCTGGTTTGAGCTGAGGTCTAGGTGTTAAAAACAGTTTTATAGCCATGGGTTCGCAGACTTTACCAGACAGTCCTTTGTCACATAAGCAAAAAACTACAAGTTTTCAACACCTAGGCCTCAGCTCAATCCAGGATAACCCAAAATTCAAGAAATAGACAATGAAACAGATTTTTCTGAGCTTATATCTAACGTCTCATGACTTGTTTTAATCCTCTTGGCCTCACCGAACCACAGGAATGGATGCAGGGAGAACTTTCCAGAAATATACAATGACACAGATTATACCGAACTTATATCTAACGACTCGTGGTTTGTCTTTAATCCTCTTGGCCTCACCGAATCACAGGAATAGATGCAGGTACCATGTAGTGAATAGGAATTTTTTTTAAATTTAGAAAATTTCTAAGCTTTGTGGAAAACACTCCTGTGACAAATGATCTTGCATTTTACGGCTGAGAACGAGAGAGCCCCCCCCCCCCCCACCCATATAAACTTCGTAGTTAATAGTTCGGCATGTGATATATGAAGTCATCTGATAATTTATGGAACAACGTGTCATGGGTAAGTAAAGTTATAGTATATCAGGAAATCTATTATTACATACATGATAACAGAGGTGATTTATTCAGTGCCTTTTGTCAACATCCTTGTGTTTTAATGGAGAAAGCAAATGTCAAATACAGGATCTAACCACAGAATGGAAAACCAACAACATTTCCTAACAAAATACCGATATGGCCGATCCTACAAAGTGATTAACACAATATAGGTATTTAAATATACCTTTATAAATATATACAAACTGTGGGATTCATTGATATGATATACATGTACCTTTATATAAGTATATACAAACTGTGGGATTCATTGATATAATATATGGACTATTTACCTATCAAACAGTTTGTATCAAATCCCTTTCAAAACATTTTAATCTCAAACAACTACCACACGCCGGGGGAATCTATTTTAAGCATCCTTGTGTCGTGACTCGATTATAGAGTAGGCCGTCGAGCCGCTGTCCATGCAAAATTTCCCTAAAAACTGACTATGTCGTATGTTTTCATTAGTCCAGTCGGCGCAGACGGATAAGAGGTTAAACCCAATTTGATAGAAATAACTATCGTTATAAATACTTTCGCGGGAATGAATCTTTAAAGATAGATTATGGGAGAGATTAGATAAAGAGCTGGCAGTTCTCACCATAATAGTTAAAAACTAGATAATGTAAAGGGAATTTACTGAAAATTTCAGTCAAATTCATCCACCCTGAATCGAGTATTTATCGATTGAATTTTGGGCCTAGCCCCGATCATCATTACTAAAGTCGGTACTATAAAAACATAGTCTCGATTATCCATTTTTTGATTTAACCATAAGCAGCAGACCGGGTTCTAATCCAGTAAATATCGCAGCCTAGCGATTATTATGGTCTGTATAAGTTAATTAATGTCTAATTAATAATTTAGATAACATTTTAGGCCTAAAGAAAGACCTGCAATAGGCAGATTTAGCTCTTGCATAATGTATGTTTAAACAATATTAAATCATAGAATATTTTCTACGAAGAGTACACTATATTGAAATGACTATACATTGAGAATCGAAACTTGTAGGCTACTATATGGACTGAAATCTTGAATTCCTAATCCTCGGCAGACATAGGCTGTGAAGTAACTTTCATTGTCAATGACTTATAGCGACATCACATCTAGCCCGGTATATTGAAATAAACTATAAAATATGAATCGAAACATCAATGTAGGTTGATCACATACCGGTGGGTTTAGCTGGGAGATGACGCCTGGAGGCGCGGTCTCAAATTAGTAGTGCGGCAAATTGTATCACGCGGTCCTATGCTTCCTTTAATGGCTGTGATGAACAGAACTATCACCATGACACAGCGATATTAAAAGTAAAGTACATTAAAGTAAATTTTATTGCATAAAAACACTAGAAATGGTTCCACTACTGATGTCTTCCGTCTTGCTCCGTGGTTTCGATTCCCCGGTTGTACGTGACAAGGAGTAGGGTCGCCTGTCCAACCCCATGTTTTTTCCGGGTCCCCCCACGAATTATTTATCAAATTCAAATCAACATTGGTCTTGTGGTCTTACAGGGAAAAGATGGGCTTCTGATATCCAATATTCAAGACAAAATAAACATTTTACCATGGTGTTTACCATAATGCGTTTCAGCGCCATTTGGAACAAGGGACTCAAAGAACAGGGCTAGACATATTCCACAAGTCACGTCAAATGGTGACGCTATATTCTTATCTGGAGAGCATGCGCAATAAATACCATCGGTGTAGACTGAAAAAAACAGACGCTAAAGATTGCCATTCACATGAGACTTCTGGCGTGTTTCGCCGAACATAACTGATTAGATATTACAGTAAAAACAGAAACGATTGAATGTAAATCAGTTTATATACATTCATATTACATTATTATATGCGTTGCGACCCATTTTTGTCAATTTCTGGGTCCCAAATATTAGCGATTTAGCTCCTTTAAAATACCGAGTATTAATTCATTATATCAGGTAAAACTAAAAAAAAATAAATCCTGGCCAGAGGATATCTGGCATTACATCTGACTACCATGATATCAAACAAACTAAAGACGAACATTTCACAAGATAAAAAATTTATTATAAACTCATTATGCATATATTTATATTTTAATGGTCATGTTTGTCTGGAATATATATGGGTACATTTATGTATTAAAATATTGGTGTATGACGTAAATAAATTTGCAATTACACGAGATTCAATATATATATTACATAATTACAATGTATGCAGTAAAACTAAGAACAAATTTCATGATAATGCCAATGAAGAGGTAGAATCAATATTCTCAGATTGGGGTAATCATAAGAACTCTAAAAAAATAAAATATAAAATAAACTTCTATTATAAATACATATATTGTATAATTAGTAACAGACAATAAATATGAAATATTTTAATGAAGTACGTTGATGTCATATTGACAGCCATCTTTGTCCATCCTGGTTACAACATGACCCATAGGTCTTTAGTCACAGCCAATCATAATCAAGATACTGTTCATGACGTCACATAAACCATTCAACTGAAATAGAAGGAATGAAATAGAATTTAAACTGAGAGAGAGAGAGAGAGAGAGAGAGAGAGAGAGAGGTTGTAGCTTGGTAAAAATATAATTTACGATTCCGATATTAAGACTTTATAAACATCGTAAATTTCATTTCTGCAGTCTCGTCAATGATAGGCTTATGATTTTCAAAGAGGCATTATTAACACGTTGCCGTTTAAAAACATATAATTTACAATTTGAATACTATATTGAGTTTCTTGGTGGAACTGATAATGAGAAATTTAAACTTACATATTTCAATAATTAATTGTCTCCCACGATAAATCTTGTTTATAAGGCTGCTCTTACACCATCCATTATGTTCTTCAGCTTCTTATCACTATCAACATATCCATCCCCATTCTACAAACATATATACAAATATTGTTTATTTATTTTACAAACATACTAAACTTAAGTCGTGTGTCTACAATTAGTTCCGCTTGAGAACAGACACGAAGCTAGTTGACCGACATTTGAAATTTACAGCGTAGCTTATGTCGCCCTACGACGCGACGAAACTGACGGCAACTAACCGCGACTGAGAGCTTATGTCGCTACGACGAGATTTATCCAAGCGACGATTTTAGTCGAAAGCTAAGTATTCTTAGATAATTCTGAGAATTATTTATTCCGCCTAAATTTAATATCATTGAAAAAGTTTCTTTAGTCTTTGTGTGTATGTCAGATATGAAACGGAGTAGAAACATATTACAAAATAGTATACAAATGTTTGCATATGGCGGCCATTTAACGTCCTACTGTTCTACTCCGACTGGGATAATGAAGACGGGCATACGCCAAACAGTGCTTGGACAGTGGCGTTATGGCGTACTCTTATATCGACATATCAAATTCCAACTGCCGAGAGAGTTCTTTTACGTGCACGCCAATGTGTCTTGTCAGGCAACTCCCCCACATCACTGACAAGGGAGAACCACACCGGAAAATCCAAAGAACTAACTAGGCCAAAACCGGGATCGAACACTTGAGCCAACGTCTTACTCACCGAGCCATAGAGGCCGCTTTCACTAATATAGCTATTGAAGGCGACGGACATATGGCATGCAGTGTGCTATGGCGGGACACTTCCTTCAACTGTAAGACCTCTAGCATATTCACACTCTCGGGTTTGCAGACATTTCTCATTGCTATGCCCTCCATCCTGCACTAATGATAAGATGGAAACCAGGTGGGGAAACCCTGAGGTCTACTTTCTCAACCAACACGGGGGCAAACTCAACATGACACCATAATATAACAATGGAATCTGTAACTATAGCAACGTACCTTCTTGGAGTGAAGTAGTTTGCCGCCAACAATCTGAACCTCTAACCAGCCGGTAGCTTGTGGAGTACCTTCGCCAGTCTATAACAAAATGAACAAATTAGGTGCTTTACAGTTAACAAATGTGGGCGTAATATATTAACTAAGAACCGACAACAACGTCATCGAAGCCATCTTGGAATTATAACGTCATATCGATGCTCAATTGTCCAAAGAACAGGCCTGGCAAGTTTCATGTCGATTGTACACAAACTGGCGGAGCCTGGTGCCTTTTTGAGGAACGGTGCCCCAAGTAGAAGTTTAAAGGCTATTAATGGTTACTCACTGTACTAGGCCTATAACCTTAGGAAAAGGTGATAACTTTTGCAATATTTACGAAACCATATGAAACCATAAGAGTCTATCCGCCTAGTTTCTGGTTAACTTCCTCTGTGATATCGCAGAAAAGATTCAGGGAGAGAGAGAGAGAGAGAGAGAGAGGGGGAGAGAGAGAGAGGGAGAGAGGGAGAGAGAGAGAGAGGGAGAGAGAGAGTGGGAGAGATAGAGAGATAGAGAGAGAGAGAGAGAGAGAGAGTGGGAGAGAGAGAGAGAGAGAGAGAGAGAGAGAGAGGGATTTATAAATACTTCAATTACAAAATTAATTTTGTCCCCGAGGAGTAAATTCACATTTTAGGATCTACTTACGATTTCTAATTGTTCGGGGAATTCCTCTTCCAGGTCCTCTTTAAGGGCCCTGTACTGAAATAAAAGAAAACAGAGAAATTTATGAAACACGTAGCCTGCTAGCGTAGTTTGATCAAAGAACATCCCATTCGTTACGCCATCGTCGCCATCTTTGAATGTTAATGTCATATCAAACATCGATCTAACGCACATGCGTCAAATCATTTCACCGCCCAATATTACCTGTACAGAGGGACAGATATACGAACTCGTGTTATTAGTATCATACTAAAAGATCATTTTAAACGATTTTTGAAATTTATCATGAAAGATTAAATAATTACCTTGGCGGCGTACCCTCATGCACCGCTGGAAAAAAATATTGGAAGATAATTACTGGTACTATTCATAAAATAACATGATATGGTTGACTGACTTACATAACATGGATTATTATAAACATGATATGGTTGACTGACCTACATTTTAACAGTATGACGTTAAACCCCATTTCATTTCATTTCATTTCATTTCACTGACTTACATAACATGGACTATTATAGTGTTGATATGGTTGACTGACTTACATAACATGGACTATTATAATATTGATTCGGTTGACTGATTAAAGGAGGCATTATGCGAGGGTTATTAAAGTATGGCCGTCCCCGAATGTTATATAAATTATTATTAATACATTTATTCCCATGACAAGCCTATAATCAATTCTCTAGATCATCGGGTGGCCTAGATATGGAGTGGATTAGACCATTAGACCCCCCCCCCCCCACACACACACACATACCATCCTCAGAATAAAAGGGACACCTGGATTCGACACTAGTCATGTGTCACTTTTATTTTTTATTTATTTATAAAATGTAAATATTCCTCACAAAATTGAAATGGAAAATAATCAGAATGTCAAGGAGAATTTTGAGGGAATGGTACAAAATTTATAAACATAAGCCCTGTGAAATTTTCAAAAACTCCTGGGCAGTAACATTGATGTCAGAAGATTTAAGTTTTACCGAAATAAAATGATTAGCATTGAAAAACAATGACTTGTCTGGGGGAGACGGGGTGGGGGTACCGTATACTCTGCATCGAGCCCGAACTATGCGTTGCCTTACAAATTACAATGCATAATATTTTTAAAACCATTTAATTACACGTATAGACCAGATAGATTGTATTAGATTTCAACAACATTAAATGCTTCAGGTGTCCTCTTATGTGACACTGCGATGATACAATATTGATAAATAGAAATGAAATTGGGTTTAACGTCCTACAGTTCTGTTCCGACTGGGCTAATGAAGACGGTGATAAATAGATGCATGGTTTTTATATTTATGTTTATTTTTTTAAAAACTAATTAAAGTCTAAACGTTTTTTCTGTAGCTAAAATTATATATAGAAACGTGCAAATGTCCCCCTATGTACAGCTTCAAGCGTGTTTAATAAAACAACAAAATTACAAAAGTTAAAAATTAATACCAACCAGTAGACAACGTGTATCTTTAGTTTCATTTTATCAGCTTGCTTTTATTCACGATCCGACAATCTTCAAACTTCAGTTCAAGACTTGGTGATGTATACGTTACTATGGCAATAACTCGAAATAAGTCGATTTATATATTATATACGCTCAGAGAAGCCGGGTAGGTCACGTGAACTATAGTCTAGTATAGTCAAAGTTGTATAAATAACTTGAATGGGAATAAAGAATCTATAGTGTGTTTCAAGTTTATACACGGTCTGTGTCTGGTTCGTGCTAAATGATAAGGCCAGCTCAATTTGTCGTTATAGGTCACGAGATGTGAACAGGGCTAGCGCTAAGCCTAACTCTGGACCTAGCCCTATTGCTTACCTTAACCCAAACCTACAATCTCGCCAACAATCACGTGCCCTAACCTTATTTACATCTCATGCAGCGACCTTGACAAAAATTGAGCTGGCCTTAACAAATAGATTTAGCCTTGTGACTGAAACCCTTGTGCTATTTTTCACTGAATAATAAAAATAAGACGAGTTGTTATCACATACTGTCTTTAATAATAATATGAACATAATAATAATATGAACATTTGTATAGCGTCAACTCCACACTTAAAGTATGCTCTATGCGCTTTTTACACACAATTTTAAATTAGATATAACGTTGAAATAGGTATGTTTTAAGTCTGGATTTGAAACACTCAATAGAAGGAGCACTTTTGATGAACACTGGAAGATCGTTCCATTTTGATGGAGCAAGAAAACTAAAAGCTCTTGCCCCAAATGTTTTCATTCTCCACCTTGGGATCACCAACTATATTTGGTCACATGAGCTTAAACTCCGGGAAGGCTTGTAACTTTGAATTAGTTGCTAGGTTATTAACACATTGATAGGTCAGCGAAAAAATCTTGAAATCAATCCTTTCCGACCTTGACAAAAATTGAGCTGGCCTTAACAAATAGATTTAGCCGTCTATGTAGTAAGTATAGAAGAACCGCCCACAAACAAACAAAAAGCTGGAAGAAAAGCCCACGGACAACACGCCTCACACCTGATTGTCGCCAGTTGTCGCGTTTATAAAATGGCCGCAACAGTTTTCACACGAATTATTTGTCAATTCAAATCAACATTGATGTTGTGATCTTACAGGGAAAAGATGGGCTTCTGATATCCAATATTCAAGAAAAAATAAACATTTTACCATAATTCGTTTTAGCGCCATTTGGAACAAGCGACCCAAAGAACGAGGCTAGACATATATCACAAGTCATGTCAAATGGTGACGCTATATTCTTATCTGGAGAGCATGCGCAATAAGTACCATCGTTGTAGACTGGAATAACCAGACGGTAAAGATTGACATTCAATTGAGACTTCTGGCGCATTTCGCAGAACATAACTGATTAGAAATTACAGTAAAAACAGAAACGATTGAATGTAAATCAGTTTATATACATTCACATTACATTATTATATGCGTTGCGACCCATTTGTGTCAATTTTTAGGTCTGAAGTATTAGCGATTTAGCTCCTACCGTAGTATGTCCTATGCCAAATTTTTCACACATCAAACTGTATGGCGTATATGCCCGTCTTCATTAGCCGGGTTGGAGCCGAAAAGTAGGACGTTAAACCGCATTTTATTACTGTAATAGTTATAATAATAATAACTTTATTTGAGAAGGGTAAAGGATTAGGCTACAAAAGCCTTTCTACCATCCTGCCCTTCATGAAAATATATAATACAAAAGATGATAGCATAACAGAAAAGAAAAAAAGAAAAAGGTGCACAATGGGTAAAAAATAAATAAGATAACAATTGTGTATAGCTGTCTAGTCGTTCGGATGGGACGAAAAACCGAGGTCCCGTGTACACATTGGCGTGCACGTAAAAGATCCCTTGGCAGTTGGAATTCGATATAAGAGTAGGCCGTAGCGCCGCTGCCCGGGCAAAATTTCCCTCATAGCACACTGTATGGCGTATGCCCGTCTTCATTAGCCCAGGTTAGGAGCAGAACAGTAGGACGTTAAACCCCATTTCATTTCATTTCATTTACAATTGTGTATATTTTTATTTTATTTTAGTGGCCGCCATTAATACAAGTCATTATCAATCTTTTCATAGATAATGCGAAAGCAAGATGGCTGACCTTTAAGTGCAGGTGCAGGTGCAGTTCAAGTCTACGTGTGACAGCGTGTCTTGCGGCAGGTGTGTTCTAGAATTTTAGGGAATCCATTTTTACGTATGTTGGAAGATTTATACTTCCGTGTAAAATTTCCATCGTTTTTTATATTAAAATTATTCAACATCCTTGTATTTTAACGGAGAAAGCACGCTGTCTCATATACCCAGAGGAAAACTAATAAAATTCCCCAACTAAATCTCGATGTGGCCGATTCTACAAAATGATTAATTCAAACTGTTACTGTTCTACTCATTAAAAAAAACAACAAAATACACATCACCTCGTGCATATCTTGTATAGATGTAGTTAAATATACATTATGCAAGAGCTAAATCTGTCTATTGCAGGTCTTTCTTTAGGCCTGAATTTTTTTCTAAATTATTAATTAGACATTAATTAACTTATCCGGGCCATAATTATATCTCGATGGCATCAGGTTTTTCCAATATTAAATAGATTAGAACGATTCAGCCATATTTAGATTTGATTTAAAAATGGAGGAGCGAGACTTAGCTTCGAACAACCAGTACGGTGGTTAAAATTATTGCACACGTCTTGTCAAAACTTCAAAGGCTAATATCTTCGCTCGCAATAGAGTAATTTGAATGAAATTTTCAAATTATTTATTTTACATTATCTATTTTCGAACTATTATAGCAAGAATGGCTCGTTCTTTATCTAAATCTTACATAATGTATCTTTAAACATTATGAGGGGGTGGGGGGGGTGCTGAGGCTAAGTGCATGTCCTTTTTAAAGATGCATCATGTAAGATAAAGAGTTTGTCGTTCTTGCTATAATTAACAGTTACCTTAAAGATACATTATGTAAGATTTAGATAAAGAGCTGGCCATTCTTGCTATAACGGTTCATAGAAAGTCAAATTACTTTATTCTGAGCGAAGTTTTGACAAGATAAGCCTCGATTTTCAAGTACCATTGCTAAGATAATAAACATCCATTTTTATTTTAAATTATTAAATCGCGCAGTTCATAGAGATTTTACAACGTGGTTTCCCCTAATAGTCAGTATAAAAAATTGCCGCGTGATTTTACAAAACAGCCACCACCTCCGGAAAAACAAAACAGCCAAAGTGCATTTTATTGAAATAGACTATACACTGTGAATCGAAACTTCGAGTAAGGTTTATCATTCCCTAATTTAAATTCAATGTGCACTGACGGTTGACATCTTGAATTCCTAGCCAACAGTCGTGATTTAGGACTTTTATGACTACGTAGTCATAGCGACGCCCCGTCTATCCATCTCTAATCAAATACTAATCGTATGCACTATATTCTTCGCGTAGATACTTACTATGGGTGATGCGGTCCAATTGATCGCGTTGTAAATTCATTTATCATCATGACAAAGCAATATTGTTGAAAGGCTAGAATATATATGGAGAGAAATGGAGTTTAACTTCCACTCGACACAAACCCGGTCATCTCGGGACTAACATATGGTTTAATTTTATTTCAATAATTCGCTTGCGCTTAGGGGTGTATTTGGGGGCTGCAGTCGGGCAAAACATTTTTTTTTTCGGGCGATCATCAAATTTCTCGGGCTATAATGATGAAAAGAATAAAATTTTAGTGGATATAAAAAAAATGAAAATGAGCAAATTATGCCATTCCGTAAAATGAAGTGTTCTAAATCCGGGACTTTTATTGACCATTGGGGGGGGGGGGTGCAATTCCCAACCGGAATTTTGAGGTTAGTGCTAAATGATAAGGCCAGCTCAATTTTTCGTCATAGGTCACGAGATGTAAACAGGACTAGCGCTAATCCCAACCCTAAACCTAACCCTGGACCTAGCCCCATTGCTTACCCTAACCCTAATCAACATTCTCGCCAACAATCACTTGCCCTAACCCAGTGCCGGACTGGGCCCACCTGTTCACCTGGGCCTTAGACTATAAAGAAAAAAGAAAAAAGAGAAAGAAAAAAGAAAAGACCTGAGGATTACTTTGGCTCCTTGAAGCTAAAGAAATAATTTGTTACTTCTTAGAGAACAATTAATTATCAGTTATCATCACAGTAGTAAACAAATATCATCTAAAGCTCGTGAGGTTCAGGAGCTTATGATAATATTCGTTTACTTCTGTGAGTGCGAAGATTCTCGCTATATTCTGTGATGTGCGTCAACAGAACTGTCAAATACGTGTACTGTATGTATATTATAATTCGCATTATTTTCATCACGGAGAATAAAAGGTTGTTTTTGTTTTGACACTCAAGAGAATTCTCAAATTCATCTAATGATAGTGCTCTTAGGTCATTCTGTTATCTCATTGTATCAGGAAATCAAAAATTAGCCTTCTTCTGCTTTGGTCTGAAATGCTTGGAAAATGGATTTGCGGAGATAATTTTTAAAATTTTCCTAGGGGGAGACCCCCCCCCCCCGGACATTCGCGCGCCTTCGGCGCGTACTTGTGTGGGCCTTGGTTAATGACCTGACAAGTGGGCCCTAACCTTATTTACATCTAAGACAACTTCTCTACGTTATAACCATCGGTGGAAGAGGCGGACGCATAATATTTCGATAAGGGGTGTCAATACATGGGCATGATTTGTAAAACATGTCTGAACACGAGTATAACAATTAAATTCATCAGCTACATTCGCACCTCAAGCAACATAAAGCTCAAATTTAAACGATCCATACAAACATAATACTAATTTAAACTGCTACTGTCCGCACCACTATTAAATGACCATGGAAGCAAATTTTGTGACGCTTTCTAAAAGAAAAGTCGCATGTCATGGAAGGGTTTCGCTGCCAATATTAAATGCTGCAACACTGTCTTTACTATTGATTACGTGTAAAAAGTACAATGTACAAAGTCTTAATACCAGTAATGATGAAGTCAAAATACCTCTAAGGCAAGAGTTAAATGTAAAACGTCAAATTTTAAAGGACAATATTGGTGTCAGTCGTTATCACATATGTGATAGAACTTACTAAACACGCTC